TATCTCCTCTCTGTATATATGTCTTTCCAATACATAAACAAATAAATCTCAAAATCTGAAAAAAAAATCCTGTTGTTATATATCTGTGCCAACAGTGTTGTCAGTGCTCTAATAGTTGTAATTTCTGTCATTCTAATAGTCATAAATATCTCCTTGATGTCTTTTTAAATATTAATGTACTTACTACTTGAGCAAGAGTGCACACTCACCTGCCAATTCACTCCCTAAGTGCCCGCACTGTTTGAGGCTGGACCAAGGCTGAAGCCAGGAGCCTCACAAGCAATGCAGGTCTCCCACAGGGGTGTTAGCAGTCACCACCACTGGTCTAGCAGTCTGTACTAGCAGGAAGCTGAGACCAGTAGCCAGAGTCAGGGACTGAACTCAGGCATGGTCAGATGGAGGAGCATGGATGTCTTAACTAGGATCCTGATCACTGGGCCGAACATCCATTCTTTATTGCCACTTAAATTTGTATTTCCTTAAAGACACGATGTACAACAAAATTACCATACCGGCATCGTTCACACCATCCTGAACAACTTCTTATCCTTGTCTGATCTCTGCACCTGCAGCTTTGGAACATACCAGCTCTACACTGTTGCTTCTCTCAGACATGCCATCACCCTACACAGGGCCGCCTGATAAGCACCTAATCATCTCTCAAGACAGACAAAATACCACCTCTTCTGCAAAGCTTTTTTGTACCACTTATCTGCATCATAAGCAGCAGGTTAAAAAAAATTTATTTTTATAAGGCTTTTTGCCCTACTAAATCATGAGCTGCTTAAGTGGCGGTGTGGGAGGCAGGGACGACTACAGGAAAGGAGGGAACACATATCATTTTCTTATCACTTTGCATGTGTTGATACTCTTGATAATGCACAGCCAGGGACTCAGGGGTGGGGGCGAGAGTCCCCCCAGATGGGTTCCAGGCTCCCAGCTCCGGCCTAATTCAGCCCTAGCCGAGGTGGCCAATGAGGAGTGAACAAGCCAATGGAAAATCTCTCTGCCTTTCTAATACAATCAAATGTTTATAATTAAGCTTTTGATTTTTTAATTCATTCCAATTCCATGACACTTACTTTCAAGTGATTCTTAGAACAAATCGGTGGTGTGCTATCAGATAAGGTATTACACCCACTTTAGAGAGGGAGAGATGCTGGTTCTGCTCCAAAGTTGACTTGACATGATGCTGGATTTTCATGGATGTCAGTTCTGACAGACTCCAAGGGAAGCCCACCAAAGTCTACCCATTTATAACATGCACACACAGGAATATCTGCTGGAGGATGAGTTCTCAAACCATCCTTCACTGACATAATGAATTGGCACGCCTGAATGCGTGATGCAGACTGCTAACAGTAGTTACACCACTTCTCCAAACCCTCCACTAACACTGCAAGGGACAGTGGTAAAAGCCACCGCACTTAATAAAACGTAAATAGAAGCCTGCGCAGCTCAGGTCTTGCTGTGAATCCTTTCATCTGAAAAACACTGAAGTCCCAGCAGGAAAAGATGGTTGCTAACTATAGCCTAAGCCCTCTCCTCTGGGGGACCGCAGCTTCGATGAAGGCGGGTGACACGCAAGAGTCTGCGTGGCAAGTAAGAGCGTACTGCAGCCTGACAACACTCCTGCCCTGCACAAAGCAGCAGCTCTGGCACCGCACACCACAGACACAGAGGAATGGGCAGGAGCTGGGCCCGCCCGAAGCTAAGATACACACACAGGAGTGTGTCCTGGGCCACATGGTTAAGACAGAAAACAAGCTGGGGCAGGGGACAGGGTGACAGACCCTGAAGTCTTTCACCTACAAGGAGAGAAGCTTGGAGAAAAACAGCTATGCAGTCCAGTACTGACCGTGCTGGAACGTCTCCCTAGGTCTGGGCGCAGTCAATGGTGTAAAATTTCAATATCCAAAACAGAACCGAGGTTGGTTGCCACGTCTGGTCATGCTCGCCTCCTCCACACTTCTCTGCAGTAGGACTCAAGGTGGCAGGGGCCACAAGGAGGGAGCCAGTCCCAGGGTATCCAGGACGCCGCCAGAGGAGCACATGGCAGCCCTGGCAGACTGAAGACCCGGCCAGTGCTGCCAGGCTGGGAATCAGACTGCATTCCCAAAGTGGACTGAGGTGGGGGGGGGGTCATGCTTGACTAAACTGAGGGGGACTTTTTGGAGCTGGAAGGGGGAGGAAACGGCTTAAAAAGAGGAACCCAAGAAGGCAAGTAGAGAAAAGTTATCTGCAGGACTTTAATGCAACATTAATAGGTATTAAGAAGTCTCAGCATCGAAGCAGCAGCTTCACAAACCACCTACAGGGGAACTTGGGAGAGAAAGGAAGGCGCGGCCGGGTGACTCCGGTCACTGGACGCCTCGAAGGCCTTGGGAAAGCGGGCACTGACAGGTGGCTAACAACACCCCTCCTGGGGTTTTCAACACCAAGGACACCACCGCACCCACCGCGTCGCGCGGCCTCTCCTTCGGGCGGGCCCCACGCCCACCCGGTCCACCTGCGCGACCCCTCCTCGCTCCGCCCGGGACCAACGCACTGGCCACAACCCGGCGGGGTCCGGGCGAGTGCGGGGCTGGGGACAGCGACTCGGACATCAGTGCCCGTCCGGGAGACCACAACGGAGGCCCCGGCACCCAGCGGCCCCGGACGGCCTCCCCATCCCGGCCGGCCGCGCGCACTCACCGGCTCCGCTGTCCGGTCCACTGGCTCGTCCGCCCTGAGGCCGACCTGGACGCGCGGCCCCGCGAGCGACCCCCGGCAGCAGGCACCGACGGCAGGCTCCCGCCCCTTTGTGACACCGCCCACCAATCGCTCGCCGGCGCTCGCCGCATCCTCCAATCAGCGGGGCCGAGGGCGGGGCTTGGCCGCCGCGCGCCGGCGGTTACTCGGGAGCCGGCATCTCCCGGGCGCTCCGGGAAGGTTTTCGGTTAGGAGAGGCCCGGATGTTGGCCCCTGGGTTAGTAACAGCGGACACCTCACGGGGTCCGAGGGGCCCTGGGAGGTCAGCCGCTGAGCCTGCTGGGAGCGGCGTGGGGACGGGGTTCCTGGGGTGCTGGGGCGAGAGCGGCGCGGACACTGTCCAGCTGCTGGCCTCTGCATGCCTGGAGTAACTGTTCCAGCGCTGACCGGCTCCTCACCGACCCGTGGTTCACCTCAGGTTTCTGGCAGGGAGTGTCCCATCTGACAAGTAGGGACATCATTGCCTGGCTGAAGACAAGTTGCGCGGCTCTTCAGGGTCTCATGTTTATGGTTTCTCTGGTTGACCCTGGGTCTTCCAAGCCGTGCTTCCTCACCCACCCACACGGGTGGCGCCTGACAGACCCCTCGCCCCAGACACCTGTTTGCACATCTTGCTGTCACTCTAAGGAACCTCAACTCCTTGCTTCTGCCCCCCCCAGCCTCGTATTCTCACCACCCACCAGTTTGTTTCTCCAGCGTTCAGCAGGATCTGCAGCTGACACGGCTGTGCCTAGGGAGGTACGGTGCTTTCATTAGATTCAGTTCCTGGGCAGTGGACAATGCCCAAGCCCTTGGGCCCCTCTGCCCATTTTGGGAGACCCTGTTGCAAGCTGCAGGTTCCAGCCTGTCTCAGCCCCAGCCATCATGACTACCTAAAGCATGAGTCTTCTAAGTAAACAATCTTTTTTAAACATTTAAATTAGGGCATCATTTGTTGGGCAGACTGCAGGGACTAAAGTAAAACAGCATGAAAAGATTACACTAAAGAGGACACACACCCCTTTTTTTGCTACAAATTCAGTCCCACACTAAAATCTTTCAAATCCTAGTATCTCCTAAGTCCCCTGCAATCAAATCCAGATGCTTTACTCCAAGAGTAAAACTCTGCATCTGACAGCAGCCTGCAGAGTCAGCCCCCACACTGTGCTTGGCCTCAGAGCAGCAAACTAAACAGATAAGGAATAGACCTGAGGGAACGGGAGGCCCAGCAGGGAAGTCCTCTCCTGGGTCAGGATCTTAAAGGATCTTGTGCTGTGACCGGATACTCATCACAGGAAACAGACTAGAACAGGGGCGGGCTGGCCCCGTGGCTAGTGGCTGCTGGGCTGGCTGATGCAGACACAGCACGGTCCCTCGGTGCAGAGTTCTGCTGGGCGGTGCTGTTGCTGCTGCAAGGCTGACACTACCATCCTCTGTCTTGCTTCCTGCCCTTACATGGGTCCCTCCTACCTCAGCCCCATGACAGGGCAAAAGCTCCAAGGGTGGAGGGCGAGTCCTGGAATGAAACCACCAGCAAATTTTACAGTGCAGATAAAAAACATGTTCAGCTCTGTGGGCCACCCAGTTGCCTACTCTGCAGTGCAGCCAGTGAGGGCACAGCCATGGGCAGTAATGAACAGGGGTGGTTGTGTTCCCACAGGTTTTTTTTTTTTTTTAAAGATTTATTTATTTCAAAGAGTTACATAGTTACATACATCCACTGGTACATTCCCCAAATGACTGTAACTACTAGGGCTGGGCCAGACCGAAGCCAGGAGTTTCATCTGAGTCTCCCACATAGGTGCAGGGGCCCAAGCACTTGTGCCATTTTTCACTGCTTCCCCAGGTACATTAGCAGGGAGCTGATTTGGAAGCGGAGCAGCAGGATTCAAACTAGGGCCCATACAGGATGCCGGCAGGGAGGCTTCACCTGCTATGCCACATTGGTCCCATGTTCCCACATAACACTACAAAAGCAGGGACTGCCAAGCCTCACCCCAGAGCATTCGCAGAAGGCTCTACGGATGTCATTGGAAACCTCCTCATATTGTTAAGCCTCTTCTTTCTCTTCGCCCACCAGGCCCTGACTAGGCTGGGGCTCCCAAGCAATAAGCAGACTCCTGCTCACCTGCTGTGACAGCTGCTGTGACTGGGATTCCCTGCCTAGCCATGAAAGCCATAGAGTGCTAATATGCCTAAAATGGTACCATGCCCCTGTAAGCCCAAACAAGTAGAAATATAAATAAAAAAAAAACAAAGTGAGCCAAACATTGTGAGACATTTTTCTTTCTAGTAGTAAGCATAGTTAAAGTCAGTACAGAAAACATTAAGTACATGGAGAGCCAGTTATTGCGGTATTTGCTTTTTGCAATCCAGTTGTGACAGCGCAGAAGGCAGAATTGCTAACTCAAGGTCATAGCCCGCAGGAGCACGGTGGATTCTTCCTGTGTTCTACTGACCTCCAAAGGCATTCAGGGGATCTTCAAATATGTTGGACACCTTGTGATCAGATTTTGGTTCAGGTGCTGCCTGTGCAGGTCGGCTTTTAGGTTTGGTTGTCTTCGTCTGGGTGCTGGAGGAGAAGATATCATCTTTAAAAGAAAAAGAAAAGGAGCTGTTGAAAGAAAACCAGGTCCACACAAACCGCCTTAGCTAGACTCCAATTCTGGAAGCAGGACGGGTACCAAAAATATGCTCATAAAGTCACTGTGAGATGCTGGTCCTGGTTGTTGTAAGGCCCAGGCAGGGTGGGTGAGGGGTGGCCCAGAGGAGAAGACAGCTGGGGGTGGGGGCAGGGGGTGCGTGCCTGATGTAACCAGGCTGCTTGGCCCAGCAGTGACGTATGGGCTCAACAAGGCCAGAGGGAACCTACCAGCACTCTATAATACCACATAATGCACACGCAGGGTAAGTCCACCCCCTAAATCCTTCTGAGGTTTCTCCAGTTCTGGGGTCTCCCTGTTTGTGATCACAGTCTGAAACAGACTGAAATCAGCTACAGGGATTTCCTCTCCATGCAGTCTTAGCCTCACTTGGTTGTGGAGATATCCCAGCTGGGTATATCCCAGCTGGTATAGCCCAGCTGGAGCCATTTTGTCACCTCCGGGCAGTCAACCTGTCAGGAACCCCTTCAGTTTCTGTCTGCCTGATTCAAAGCCTTGGGAGAATATGGGGAACCCCGGATCTAAGGCTTAGGGTGTCTCCTGAGCAATCTGGGCACTTTGGGACTGTCCCAAGAGCTTCATAAAAATACGCTAATTTTCCGTGGCCTGGCTGCAAAATGAATTGGACAATTCGTCATGCCGACTGCCAGAGGGGACTTCTGATTTTAACATTCTCTTGAAATAATCACTGCCGCAGAATGGAGAAATAGTGGGAGGGCCAGTGTGTCTGGGCCTGCCTAACCCTGCACTCCTGCCCCTCCGTTTGCACGTCCTGCTCGACCTCCCAGATCCTGCTCAACAGGTGCATGCCGGACTCTGCCGATCAGGACACCTCTGAGTTCCCTCTCCAAGCCTCCTGTCTTCCTGAGCCTCCAGAGGATCGGTCCTTTAGGGGACTCCCTGTCTGGAAGCTGCACTGTCAGTGTCGTCTCTACTTCCAGCCCCCGCTGTGGCTGCAAGCCTCTCCGGCCACTCTGAGCGCTCCTCCCCCTCCTTTCTCTCTATCCCCTCGTCCTGCTCCCACCCCACTCCCCACTTCCCTGTGTCGCTGCCACCCCACCCTAAGCCTACGCCTCATACTAATCTGTTTCTGTGGGCACTCACATCCAGTCTCATCCCTCTACCACCCCGTGCCCTCTAAGCTGGTGGGTGCACAGGGACCGGCCAGGGCCTATGTTCCTTTCTGCCTTCAAGACCTGGGATCCTTTTCAGCTGATCCCATCCATTACCTTAAGGAATTTTCCTATTTCCTCAGGCCTATGACCTCACCCCTTTATTTTTAATGACCTCCACCTTAACTCCAGATGGGAAGGAATGGGTCCTCACAGATGCAAGATGGACGAGGTCCATCTGGTGGGGGCTGAGGCTGTCTCCAAAACCGACCCAACTGGGACCATCAGGATGGCCATTCTGGCCGACAAGAAAAGACAATGTATGCCTCACTGCCTTTTGGCGGGCATGAAGGTGCATAAAGAAATACATTTTGAAAAACTTAAGCAAATCATTCAAGGATCGGTAAAAACCTGGCCCTCTTTCTCACACATCTTACTGAGGCCTTAACTCACTACACTTGGCTAGAACCTGACTCACAGGCAGGGGCCATGGTCTTAGCCACTCATTTGATTACCCAATCAGCTCCTGACACCCCCCCCCCCAAAAAAAAATCAAGAGAGAGAGCAGAGGCGGGCCCACAGACCCCTATCCAGGAACTGGTAAAAATGGCATTTGAAGTATACAATGTGCAGGGGGACCAGGTGGAAGCTACCTGGCAGGTACAGGTTCAGCAGAAGGTGGCTCTCAAAGCAAGGCCAGAGTGGCAGCTCTGAGGCCGGCACTCAAGGCCACGCTCCTTGGGGTGTGCTGACACCCACCAAGCTGTGTCCCACCCAAGCACAGGCTGGACACCGGAAATCAGACTGCCCCTGCACCTCAACATGGAGGCAGGGGTGCAAGGCGCAAACTTGGAGACGTATCCCTGGAGCTGTGTGGCCTGGCTGGACTCAGAGACCCCCATCACTCTCGCCGAGCCCAGGGTCAGGTTACAGGTAGCAGGTAAGTCCGTCTCCTTTTTCCTTGGACACTTGGCCTACTTCCTCCGTCCTGCCCTCTCATTCAGGTCTACTACACCTCCCCAGATCTTGGTGATGGGGATAGAAGGGACCCCCTCAGTCCCCAGGCTGACCAAGACCCTCTTCTGTTCTTTAGACCACATCCTATTTACACATTCCTGTTTAATTATTCCCTCTTGCTCAGTTCCACTGTTGGGACAGAATGTGCTTTCTCATCTGGGAGCCTCTATCCAATTAGCAGGAATTTTAAAATCCTCAACTTCCTCCCTCCCCCTCCCTCTACTCCCATTCTCCTTGCCTTTCCCCTCTCTGCCCCTGGAGGGGGCTGACTCAGTGGGGCTGCATACCTCCAAACCAGTTATAGGTGCACACCACCCTCTGGTTATGCTTCGCCTTCAGGACCCCTCCTTATTCCCCTTGTGGTTCCGATTCCCACCTCTCATACTCACCTTGAGGTACTACAGCACATTATTTCCAGACTTCTTGACCAGGACCTGCATATCCCAACTGACCCCCCACCCCCTCCCGTAACACGCCCATCCTACCTGTCTGTAAGCTGTTGGGGGTCTGCTGCTTGCTCATCAACGAGGCCGTAATCCTCCTCCATCCGGTAGTCCCCAACCCTTACACTCCGTTGTCACAGGTCCCACTACCACCTCCCACTTCACTGTACTGGACCTAAGGGTGCCTTCTTTGCTATTCCTCTCCACCAGACTGCTAGTTCCTCTTTGCCTTTACTTGGACTGACCCAGACACCTAAACTTCTTCACGAGTAACCTGGACAGTGCTACACAGGGCTTCTTAGGTAGTTCTCTTCTTTTTGGCCAGGCTTTGGCTATTGGCCTCTCTCCCAGTACCCTACTGTAGTATATGGATGATTTCCTCTGTAGCCCCTCGCTGTCCCTTTCGCAGCGCCATAGGGCGTCCTGCCTGAGGGTTGAGTACAGTGGGACTCTGTGTCTCTTGGAACAAGGCCCAGCTTTGCATTCCCCAGGCTATCTACCTGGGAGTCTCCCTGAGCCCCAGCACAAAGGTCCTTACAGCCGACCGCACCCTGGCTGTCTGCCGGCTGCACTCGCCACAAAGTGCAGGACAAATCCTTCCCTTCCTGGGCCTTCCTCTGACACTGGATACCCAATTTTGCCATCTTAGTCAAACCTCTTTACTCGGTGGCTAAGGAGACCCCCATGGAGGTTCGCCGAGCCCCTAACACACTTAGGGATGCCTTCTTGCTAGCCTTCCCCTTTCACCTCTCTGTGGCTGAGATCTCAGGAACAGCCAGGGGGACTATTACCCCAACCCGTGGGCTCCACATACCGACCGGTGTCCTACACCTCGACAAACAACTGGATCTTACTGTAAAGAGATGGTTCCTCTGTCTGTGAGCCTTGGCAGCAGCTGCCACCCTCCCCACAGATGCCCTCAAACTCACTCAGGCACGTCCACTAACTGTTCTCTCTTCCTACTGGCTAGAGGACCTTCTTTCTCACCACCCGCTATCTCTTCTAGGACTCTCACGCTTCCGGAAGTTCATTTGACTCTTCACTGAAAACTCTCCTGGTACCATTAGGCTGTTCCCCGCCTTTAAGCCCTGCTTCTTCCTCCCTGTCACTACCAACTCCCGTTTTTCCCTTCCTGCTCATTCCTGTGTCGGTATCAGGTAGCCTTAGCACCTCCAGGCAGGACCTGTCATGCGCTCCTTTGCTTGACCCTGACCTCACCGTCTTCAGCGATGGCAGCTCAGTTGCAGAGCAGGCTGGCAGGTGAAGGGGCGGTTTACGCAGTGGTCACTGCCTCTCCCACCATCACGGCATTTTCACCCTCAGAAGGCCAAACTTAGGGCCTTAACACAGACCCCTGTCTTGTCAAAGGGCGAACAAGTAAACACCTATGCTGTTCTAAATATGCTTTTCTCCTAGCCCGTTACCTTAATTCTGCACTCTGGAAGGAACATGGGTTCCTAACCACCAAGGGCTCTCCAGTTATTAACACTACTCTTATCTCCAACTTGCTCCAGGCTCTACAACTCCCAGCTGCGATGGCCACTACTCACTGCAGGGGCCACCAGCGTGCCTCCGACCCAGTCACCAAGGGCAACAAAGGCGGACACTGGGGCCTGAGCTCTCACAAAGCAACCTTTCTCTGCTCCCCTCCTCTTTCTCACCATTCCTCCAATCCCCACATATACCCCCACAGGAACTATCTGACCTGCTGGATCAACTGGGCTAGGTGGGGGACAAGGGCTGGGTGTTCTTACAGGACCAACTTGCTTTACCAAAACCCAAGCCCAGTACTTTCTTCAGGACATCCGTAAGTCCTGACACACTGGAGGCAGAGCCATGCTTGGGGTTTTAAGCCCCCCTGTTTTATACGGCTAAGCTTAAGCTTCAGTCACCTGGCAAAGGGGCAGGTGTCCATGACTCCCCATTCATCAGATGAGGGGACACCAGCTGAGTGAAAATTGGCAAACAGACTGTGCTCACGTGCCCCGACATAAAATCTTCCATTACCTAATCACTCTGGCTGACACTTTTTCTGGGTGGGTGGAGGCTTTCCCAACTGCCCAGGAAACCTTAGACACAGTGGTCCATATTCTATCAGATGATATTATCCCCGGGGTTGGCCTTCCAGCAGATATCCAAATGGACAATGGACCTGCCTTCACTACACAGGTTATACAGTGCCCCTTGGAAGCTCTCAACATCTCTTGGAAACAATATATCCTCTACAACCCAAATCTTCAGGCATCACGCTGACTGTCACCTGCCTGGAGTCATCAGCACTGACCTCTTCCTCTATGTCCAGGAGACAGCGTCCTGGGGGAAATGGGTACGCGTCCCACCTCCCACAGTAATTTGTCTCACTTACAATCAGTTCCATGAGTACTGTTGAAAAGTGGGATACCTATTGGGGGTTGCCACAATACTCTTGTCAAAGGCACATCTTTATAACCCAACAACCAATTCTGGGGTAAACATATCACCGTGATACTCTGTTGATTAATATCCATGATCCTGAGGACCCCGGGTTGGCCCAGGGGATCAGAGGCAAAGTTTAGGGTATTCTTCTACCCCTGGGATAACTATCACAGCTTCCCGATCTTTTGTAAACACTGTTCTGTCAGATGTGTGCCAACTAGAAGATCAGGCACCTAGACACAACAAACAGAACGGGACCTTCAGCAACAACACACTGGTGATCCTTTTCCATGGCTGTCCCTTGTCCAGCAGGGGGTGCTTATGTTCAAGCACACGGCAGCAGGTAATGTCTGGGCTTTCTGTGGGCCTCACTGCAGCGGCCCCTGTAATCATGGCTCCTATGACGAGCCCCTGGAACTCCATTCTTCCCTCTTCCCCTCCCACTGGTGCCCGACCCTGATTCACAGGCTGTGCCTGCCTGCTACAAGGACAACCCGGTCGTGTCCAATCACAGCAGAGAGAAAGGCCGAGGGGACCCTCTATGCCCCTCTGGGAATCTTCTGGAACAACAGCACCCTGACCAAACATCTAAATGCCTCCATATCTTTCCCTTGAATCCTAGCCTCTCTAGTTCCCCAATTCATGCTGTATGGCGAGGCAGAACATTTCACCCTGCAACTACCTCCAACTATACCGTTTCACTGCCAGGGAAGAGCCATATGCCTGCCATCAATACCAGGAATTTCCCTTGCTGCCTCTTCTGTAGCTGCTGGAGAGGAGTGGAGCCTTATCCCATAGCATCATTGCCTCGCAGGACCTGGAAGATTGCTTACAGTCGGCTCTCAAGGCCTCAGCCGCATCCGTCAATTCCCTCCAGTGCCAAATCACCTCCCTGACCTCCAAAATCGTCAGGCGCTGAGCCTCCTGACGCCAGACAAAGGGGGAACCTGCCTCTTTCTACAGGAGCTGTGCTGCTCTTACATCAACGAATCCAGCCCAGTGGGAAAGAAATTTCAACAACCTCCGACAACTCTGGAAAGAATTAACAAGCAAATACACTCAGAACTTCCCCCTTCCCATCGAATGGTGGTGGTCTTTCCTGTATGCTTGCTTGGCTGCAATGTTGGGAATTCTTTTTGCTACATGCCTTTTCCTCATGTTTGCACCCTGCTTCCTCAGCTTCATCCATTCACACATGCAAAGGTCGCTCGTGTGGCCATCAATCAAATGTTACTACATCCCTACTCCCAGCTCCCCATTTCTTCTCCTGATGGTCACCCATCGCCCTCCCCATCCCTGGTGGGCCAATTACTCCTCTCCCTTCAATGCCCCAACTCAGCAGGAAGCAGCCAAGAGATCAATTCTGCCTCTATTCTAAGAAAAGGGTTGGAATGTAAGGTCTGGTTGAGGGGCAGCCCTGAGGGAGAAGAGCATGGGGGGCTACACCTACAGACACATACACTGACGTCACCATGCCCGCGGGCCGCACACCCAACTGTTAGGGTCCATTACCCGCAAGGATTGCTGTTCACCTGTGACATTTTCTCTGTTGTATGAACCTGCTACAGCTAAGCACGTCTAATCTTTCAGAAATAGACTAAGTCCCTGCTCCTGTGTACTAGAAAGCAGGTGGAGACAAACACACGGTTTACAGAAACACACGGCTCCATGTCAACCCCAAATCTATCTCCAGGCCAGGAAGGCGGGTGGACCAACCCACAAATCGAGCTGTGCCATGGAGGGAAGACAACTGTATTCAGCTGTACTCAGGGGTCAGTGAGGTGAATGCTGTGTCAGCAGCTCCCTTCTAGGCAGTGCTCTGCCCCTCTTGCACCCTGTCCATGCTCTGCAGTCATAGCTGGACTCAGTACCCTCAGACTGTGGCAGCCCACAGAGTAACTTCTGAGTAGTCCCCTACTATGTCAGTGTTACATGGGCCTGGCAGAGTGCACTAAGCTACAAGATCAGTTATCCTGGAAGGCCTAATTCTGGGCAACCTCATGTTCCCTGGTACTTCACCAAAATGAGGATCCCATGTGTTCACCCATCTCCATCCAAACTCAAGACTGCAGGACAAAAACAAAGGAAACCGGCCAGGGCACCTTTTCTAGCAAAGAGGCAGCATGAAGATGGCAGGAAAAACACCCAACATTTCTCTAATGCACACTTACCCATGTCATCATCAAAGATGGACTTAGCTTCCACTTTCTTTCTGGGCTTTTCTTTCGGTTTTACGGTCAGGTCAGCAAAGATATCAATGTTATCATCAAATAAGTTGGACTCTAATGTTCTTTCCTTCTCTTTTGTTTTTTGTAATGGTTTAGTTGCTTCTGTAGCAAATATGTCATCCTTGGTAGATCAAACAAACAAAAAGAAAAACAAGTTAAAATTTCATCATAACTAAAATACTTCACCAGGCTATGTATACAAATTGCCTGCAGTTTGAGACTAGCTTTGCAGCCTGCCCTCTGCCTGTACGTACTGCTCCAGATCACAGCGTGGCCACCTGCCTGGCCTGACAGCTCTCCTGCTTCCTCTCAGATACCAGTTGCCAGACGAGGCCTCTCCAGCAATCCCACCTGAAGAACATCCTCCATGCCACATCTTCATGGCACTTGGTGCTATCTGAAAACATCTTGGTTGCCTGCTGCCTGTTTGCATCCATTCGCATCCCTCTTTTAGGTGTGGGGGGAGCCCCCGTTGCAATGTGCCCTGTGTCTGCAGCATCTTTCCTGCAAATTCCTGACAATGCCTGCCTGGAGTGGATGGTTCCAGCCAGGCCTCTCCTGCCAGAACCAGAAGTTTAACATCCAAGCGAGATGGCTCTCCACAAGACAACCTCAAAGTGTTCACACGAAAAGAAAGCACAGTCTGAGAAGCCTATGCATGGATTTCAGATCTCTGTGCACCAGAACAAATGCCATTTCACTTCATTGTGCATGACCCTGTCCTAGCCCCCTTCTCTCTGTGAGGGTGGCGTGCTAGGATTCTAACCTCAGCACCACAGCTAAAAGCGACAAAACACAACTCTGAAGCTCCAGGGCTGTTTTCAGCGACTATGACCGAGAGCCACGCTGCAAGAAAAAGAAACAAAAGCAGTCGGAGTAAACTTCAGCGCTCTTAAGAGGACATACTCAGAATTGGCAAACAGATCAATGCTGGGCACGTGTGAGACAAGCTTAAGGCAAACCAGGGCTCCAAAGGGCCAACTAGGTACTTTCCTGAACACAGAAGCAGCACAAACAAGCCCTGACCTTCTCACCTCAAAAATATCTTGTGTTTTTGGCAGGACATCCTGATGGCCGCTGGATTTTGAAGCATGCTTCTTGCCTTTCTGGTCTGCAAACAGATCATCCTCGTCTTCCAGGAGAGGGAAGGGAGCTGCTTTCTTGGCTGGTTTGGACTTCACGGGCTGGAAGAGCTCATCGCTGCCGGCGTCGCCCAGAGGAGGGAACAGGGGGGCGCTCTCCTTCCTTGCCCCTGCCAGCTGGCCCGGGCTCTCTGCTGCTTTGACCTTGGCCCTTGTTCTCTCCATGGACTGAATTTCAGGGCCCTGGGTGAAGATGTCTTCAGAATCAAAGAGATCAGCCTCACCGCTGGGCTGGCCCAGAGACTTGGCAAAGGGGCTTTTGTCCACCCCGGGCCTTGGCCTGCCTTCCCAAGGTGGAGAGGCAGCAGCCAGGGGCTCTCCAGAGCCATCTTCTCCATGGGCTGCTCGGTGCCATGGCTGCCAGCCACTGGGCGAGACGGCACCATCTGCCACTTGTGCAGTGGGTCCCCTGGGGACACTCGTGTCCTCGGCCTCACTGGACTCCTGAGCAGCCAGTCGCCTGGCAGCACGGGTCTGCGGCCTGCGCTTCCCTCTCACTTTGACCCGGCCCTGCAATGACAAAAAACCAAACCAAACCAAACCACTTGTTTATCTGAAAACAAAAGGGAAGTGAAGAAGGGTGGCATAGCGACATATGTTCTAATGTGAGTTCATTTCCCTCCAGCGACACACTCTCCAAAGCCAACAGGCGACTTCGAGATTGTCCCCGGAGCTTGGTGGCTCTCAGAATGCCAATCAAAGCTTCTCGCAATCCTTGAGTGGTCTCCCTTTTTTCATGTTCCAAGGGCAGTTTCAAGTCACTTTGACACAAAAGACTGTTTTTGGTGCTCAGTGTTCCACTTTCCTCTTTAGCATCTACTCTTTTCTTTTCAATTTATTTTTAAAATATTAACTTATTTATTTGGAGGGCAGAGCTTGAGACAGAAAGGAAGAGGTATCTTTCTTTTGTTGGTTCACTCCCCAAATGACTACCACAGCTTGGAATTTCATCTAGGTCTCCCACATGGATGACAGGAGCCTAAAGACTTGGGCCATCTTTGCTGCTCTCCCAGGCACATCAGTAGGGAGCTGGATCAGAAGTGGAGCAGCCAGGACTGGATCCAGTGTTTACATAGGATGCCGGGAGGTGCCTTAACCCACAGTGTCATAACTCTGGCCCCTATTTCTTCACTTTAAATGTGGGTATTCTTCAAAACAAGAATGAACCAGGGCATTCTCAGCACTAGCCTGATTTAGAGCCAGTCTAAATTCAGGCTGCAAGAGCAGGGAGACACTACACAAAAAAGAGAGGTAATCTCTACCAACCCAAGTTGGCTTCAAGTCAACAAGTGTTAAAACCATATGTCAAGTATTTCAAGTAAATAATACGGCTTAGAAAGCATCACCTTTAGTGCAGATTCAAAACATGACTACTCAAACATCACACAGCAATTGCAATTATTACGAAATATATATCATGTGGTTTTGAGAAGGCAAGCTACTTAAGACAAAGTAGGTGGTTTTGATCAGCTTCAAGAAAATCTCATTCATTTAAGCAGGTAGCCAACTGAAACTTTCCAAAAACAAAATTAACACCAACTGTACCAGAAAGAAAGCATGTTTCACTTTGCACTAAAGCAACAAGCTTGGAAACAGCTGAAACCAAAGTGGCAGTTGGCAGGGTTAGGCCATGCTGGGTCCTGTCATTTACCAGGGGATCAGTTAAGACTTTCTGGAAAAGGGAGACTGGACAGAATAAAGAGAACTAAAATGAAAGGGACACCTCAAACAGTGCAGTGTGTGCCAGGCAGATTCTGCTATATGTGACTTAGAGAAGGGAGCCGAGCACATGGGGGCAGGTGAGGTGGTAAGGCAGGGAAGGGCCTTTCTGGAGGTTGGTAGAGCAGGGGTTTGCATTGAAGGGCAGGCCTGGGGCTCCTAAAGTTCAGGCTGTCCATGTGAGGTGATGGGGGGAAAGCTGGAGGCCTGGGCTGGCACATCCCCCCTCAGAGCTGGAATGTTTTCTAGGCGCCGAGGGCCAGGAGGCAGGGCTGCTCTGCTCCACGGCCAGGGGCTCTGCGGGTGGCAATGCAGGAGGAGCCAGAGGTGGCACATGCCAGCACAGGCAGGCAGGACTTCACTGAGACTACTGTAGGGGCCACCAGGGATGAATGCAGGCAGTGAAAGGCAGATGCAAAATTACGTAGCTGGAGGGAATTAGAAGAGCAACAGAGGAAGCGAGGAGCAGGTGCGCCTCCTTCAAGTGCTGGGTTGGAGCTGCAAGTTGTATGTGGCTGATGAACTAGAAAAAAAGCCCACATTGGGGAACAGGGGGTGGATGGCAAGAGGGGCGCTCAGGACTATGGCTCAATAGGCTAATCCTCCCCTTTCCTGTGCCAGCATCCCATATGGGTGCTGGTTCATGTTCTAAACTGCTCCACCTCTGACACAGCTCCCTGCTTATGCCCTGAAAAACAGTGGAAGATGGCCTAAGGACCCATGTGAGAGACCTGAAGAAGCTCCTGGCTTCAGACTGGCTCAGCTTCATCCCTTGCAGTCAGATGGGGAGTGAATCAGCAGATGGAAGATCTTTCCCTCTCTGTCCGTCCTTATCTCTATAAATCAGCCTTTCAAATAAAAATAAATAAATCTTAGAAAGAAAGCAAACAAGCAAGCAAGCAGAAGGAAGAGCGGGCCAAGAATTGGGGTGCAGGTCAAGCCACCCCCTGCAAAGCCAGTACCCCATACAGGAGCACGTGATCAAGTCCCAGTGGTTCTGTTTCACGTTTGCTAATGCTCCTGGCACCTGCTACTCGCGCAGCAGACCCAGGTTAGAGTTCCAGGCTCCCAGCTTGCTTTGGCTTGGCCCAGCCCTGGCTGTTGCAGCCATTTGGGAATCGAACCAATCAATGGAAGATCTCTCTCTCACTCTACCTTCCTAATAAACAGAAAGCAGATAAATACAGAAATATTCTTAATGATTTATTTTTATTTGAAAGGCAGATTTACAGATAGATGCAAATGTAAAAAGAGAGGAGAGGCAAAGAGGGAGATCTTTCATTTACTAGTTCACTCCCTAAATGGCTGCAATGGATCTTTCATGCACTGGGTCATGGTCACATTACAGCCATTTAGGTATTCTGGAACCTTGGAGCTTTTTCTGGGTCTCCCACATGGATGCAGAAGCCCAAGAACTTGAGCCATCTTCTGATGCTTTCCCAGGCCATAAACTCAGAGCTGGATCAGAAGTGGAGCAGCCAGGGTATGAGCCAGCACACATATGGGAAGGTGGTTTTTACATGCAAAGTCTTGCTATTGAATCATAACACCAGCCCCTAAATAAAGAATTCTTAAAAAAAAAAAAAAAGAAAAAAAGAAAAGAAAAGTAGATATATTGCTTTGGGGGAAAAAAAAAAACCACAATCCTTGCCAGGATGATGCGTCACCTTGTTTGCGCTGTGTAAGGTGTCCGCCTGCGCTGGGAAATCGAAGCTCACACCGACCTCTCCACTCCCAGCATCCGGGCTCACATGCTCCAGCCTGCGGCTCCTGGCAGCTTCAGATGTTGAGAATGCCAATTCTGGCAGAACAGACTTCACTCCAGGAATCTGTGGAGCCGCTCCAGGCAGCAAGGCTGCGGGGTTAACTGCTAGATGTGCCTGGAGAGACAAAAGCAAAGTCTGGAGCTGCTCTTAAATAGCAGCCTGTCATCCATACTGCTACACACCATTACACACACACACACACACACACACACACACACACACACGACGAATGAGACAAGAGGAGAACAGAGGAAGTCGCCTGATCAAGTCTCGGAACTAGTACAGAAGGTCCCAGCCGTGTGCCCACCATGGAGCCCAGAGGAAGATGTGTGAGGCACAAAGCAAGAGAAGCCACAATGAGGTGGGAAGCGCGCAGGAGTAGGGCCCAGAGGATGAGAAAAGGCTGGGCAGCAGCTCACAAAACAAAAACCCACAAGAGTTCACAGGTGCCCTAGGGCAGGCAATGAAGATTCCAGATGGGTTATAATTACTTGTATTTTCCCGATGCGAGTGGATGGCTCTTTGGTTTTAAATGCAGCGGGACCTGCAGAGTCCTGTGTGAGATTACACTCGGTTAAATATCCACTGGGGAAGCAGAAAGCAACCTGCCTCTTGGATGACACTTAATGCATGTGAATCAATCCACAATACAGCAAGGGCCCCCACTGGTGGAAATGGTCAGGAGACTGCTGAGATTCACCTGTTGCACCCTGCTGGGGGATCGAAGCCAGGGTAGCTGGCACCATGACCCATGCCCGGGCAACACTGCAAGTATCAGGGAACACAGCCTGACACGGTCTCTTCCAAAGCAAAAGGATCTGAGTCCTGGGAAGGGCCAGGGAGATGTGCAGGTACAGGTGCCTGCATTCAGAGCCTCCGTGAGGCAGCCAGGGACACAGCCAGGCATACTGGACCCAAGCTCGAGCCCTGGCCTCTTCTCGGATGCAGCTCAGGGGTTTGAGAAGGTGGCTGGGGAGGGAGATCTAAGGGCAAGGGCCTCAGAAGAGGCACCCTGGGGAGCAAGCACCCAATGGGACAGAAGTGAGGCTGAACTCTACTCTCAGGGCGTCCCAAGGCAGAGGCAGGATGGCTGGAGTGGAAAGCAGATCCTTCACTCTACCTCAGCTCCATCTTGGAAGCTGATATTGCCTAGCATCAGTAAGTCATGATTATGTAGTGAACTGAGGTGACTACAGGGAGTCCCCCAGTAGACAGAGGAAAAGGGGGAACCAAAACGAGTGGCTGTAATAAAATGCCAAATCGCATCCCAAGGAAAGAGTGGGCAGCCCTAGCTGCTGCTCGTGTCTGAATTCCGAGAGCTAGCTCTGACAGTGCAACGGCCTCTGTCCTGGACTGTAAGCAGCAGGAGCCTGCAAATCCCGGGAAGTTGGTCCCAACCTGAGGGGTTTCCAGGGTCCACAGGCTGTCTTCCTTGCTTCCTGGAGTGGAGTCGGGGTAATTTTGGTTCTTCCCAGAGGAAACAGACTGGTCTTTTTTCACTACCTTCTTTTTTTCTGGTACCTTCAAAAGAAAAAAGAATGCCAGTTCCAAGACACTGTCAACTAGTAAAGCCTGGTTGGGGCAGGGGGAGAGCCATACAACCCTGGCCGAAACCCAGATCTGAAGCCTGCCATGTGAAAGGCTGAGTACTACTGAGCCACCAAGTTGCATGCAAACTATTTCAACTCACACACATCACTTTTCAGTGTGAGCTAGGGGACATTAGATCCCCACCCAGGGGATGCCATTCATTTAAGGGTGCGTGCCCAGTCCCTCAAGATTTTCCTTAACTTGTTAACTGGACACTCAACAAAAAGCCATTACCAAGGGAGGGGACTTGGCAGAGCCGAAAAGATCATCATCTTCATCGTCTCCAAACAGGCTCCCAGTGCGAGGCTCTAAGGACTGCAAGACACAACACCCAGATTCGGTGTTTACAAAAGCACAAGAGAGTGAGGTGAGCTGCAGGGGGAGGATCTAACCCGACCAAGCCAGAACACGGCGAGCTGCCTGGAACCGGAACTCACCTTGGATTTCTTCGTGGTGCCAGCGAAAAGGTCAACATCCGGGTCGTTGTCCTTTTGGAGTTTGTGGCTGAAAAGCAGCTCTTCATCCTGGAAGACACCTGTGCTCTTGGGCCGGATTTGGGCGTCAACACCCTGAGGAAAACAGGGATGGTCATGTGCGAGGAGACATGCGAACACCTGTGGCCAGGCTATCGCCCTCACGCAGAGATGGGCACAGTGAGGGCATCCCCGTAGATGTGCTGACACCAGCAAGAGGCTGGCCACCACCAAGTGCATGACACACTCACACATCGGGATGTTGTAGTAGTTAAGAATTCACATGATTCAGAAATACCACCTTGGTTCTTAGTATAGTATACCTGCACGTGTTATTAAAAAAAGAAAAAAAGCCATGTGCTCCATGAGAACACTGTGGGGACAAAAACAAAAAATGAAATGGGTTGGGGTGCCTGTGGCAGAGCAATTAACACCCCACTTAGTACACCTGCTACTCCTTAGCCAAATGCCTGGGTTCCAGTTCAAGTTCCACTCCTCATTCTAGCTTCAGCCAATGTATATCCTCAGTGGCAGCGAGTGATGGCTTAACACTCACACGGGAGACACAGACTGAGTTCCCTGGCTCTATGCTTTGGTCCAACTCTGATGAACCAGTATATAGAAGGTTATCTGTGTTTCAATTTATTTAATTAAAAAAGAAAGAAAGATGGGCCCGGCGCGGTGGCGCAGTGGTTAAGGTCCTCGCCTTGCACGCCTGGGATCCCATATGGGCGCCAGTTCTAGCCCGGCAGCCCCGCGTCCCTTCCAGCTCCCTGCCTGTGGCCCGGGAAAGCAGTCAAGGACGGCCCAAAGCTTTGGGACCCTGCACCCACCCGCGTGGGAGACCCAGAAGAGGCTCCTGGCTTCGGATCGGCATAGCATCGGCCGTTGCGCTCACTTGGGGAGTGAATCATCAGACGCAAGATCTTCCTCTCTGTATATCCGCCTTTCCAATAAAAAAATAATAATAATAAAAATAAATCTTAAAAAAAAAAGAAAGAAACTAACTCTGTTCATCGCATTCTTAGAGGTAAGAAGAGTAACCTATTTAATCCTAGATAGTAAAAGAAGTGACCAAGTGTGCAGCCCCAACAGCGAGCATCTTAGTCCAAAGATGTGGCACAGGTGCGCATGGCGCCGGCCCCTTCACGCTTCTACCACTTTTATCCTGTTACTTTCAGAACCTAAATGATTATTTGTTTGCTAGAACAGTTATGAACATTCCTATAATATTACTAGGTCTGAAAACATAATGCTTGGGGCCAGAGTTGTGGTGAAGTGGGTTAAGCTGCTGCCTATCATGCTGGCGCTTCATAAGGCCACCAGTGCGAGCGCCTGCTAATGAACCTGTGAAAGCAGAAGATAGCTCAAGTTCTTGGGCCTGGTGCCCATGTGGGAGATTCAGATGGAGTTTCAGACTGCTGGATCCATCCTGGTTCAGTCCTGGGGTAGCCATTTGGGTAGCCATTATGGTAATACAACAGCAGATGGAAGACCCCCTCCCCGCCCACCCCTACAGATCTTTAAAAGAAAACACAATGTTCCAGGTCTGACATTCTACAATGCATTTCTATTTCTTCCTTAGTACCACAACTACAGGTTAAAACCAGTAAGAAAACCACAAAACAAAACAAAACTCTCCATTTCTGGTAATCACATCACTAATTAACTAATAAGTAACCATTGCTATTGTTAATTCATAAAAACCACCTTGATAACAGCAAGTAAGGTCCTCATGAGGCGGGTGTGGTAGCTCAACAAATTAATCCCCCACCTTCAAGTGCCAGCAAACTGAATGGGTGCTGGTTTATGTCTCCGCTGCTGCACTTCCAATCCAGCTCCCTCCTTAATGGCCTGAGAAAGCAGCAGAAGATGGCCCGAGGACTTGGGCCCCTGCAGCCACATGGGAGACCAGGAAGAAGCTCCTGGCTCCTGCCTTCAGATCAGCTTGACTCCAACAATGTTGCCAGCAAGAAAGTGAATCAGTACATGGAAGATCTTTCTATCTCTCTCCTTTATGTATTTTCTTTTCAAATAAAAATAAATAAATCTTTTTTTTTTTTAAATAAGAAAGCAGCTGAGGACAGCCCAAGTATTTGGGCCCTGGCCACCCTGATGGAGTTCCTGGCTCCTGGCTTCAGCTGGGTTCAGTCCTAGCCATTTTAACCATTGGGGGAGTGATCCAGGGGACAGAAGATCTATTTTATCAGAAATGCAGGTTCCTCCCTACCACCCGCCTTCCTTCCTGCTCTTGCTTTATTTATTTTTTAAAATTAAACTGTCATTTTTTTAATTGGAAAAGCAGATATACAGAGAGGAGATACAAAGAGATCTTCTATTCATTGGTTCACTCCCCAAGGGTTGCAACAGCCGAACTGAGCTAATCCAAAGCTCCAAAGCCCCAAAGCCAGGAGCCGGGAGCGTCTTCCAGGTCTCCCATGCTGGTGCAGGGGCCCAAGGTTTTGGTCCTTCCTCCACTGCCTTCCCAGGCCATAACGAGCAAGCTGGATGGGAAGTGGAACAGCTGGGATCCTGGTGGATGCAAGGCGAGGATTTAGCCACTAGATTATGGCACCAAGCCCCTCTTAATTATCTTTTAAATAACTTTAAACATACTGGGAGAAACCACAGCAAGTTACTCATATTCACTGTGTACTGCTCCTATTTAAAAATAAAGTGGTACTACTGATACAATAAGAAATAACACATGTTTTGAGTAGAAGTAAGCATATACCACATTTTCAGTGACATACAAAAAGGACTGACAACCTGTACCTTCTCTACTTCATTTTGTTTTGTTCTGAAAGATTCACCTGTTTATTGGAAAAGCAGGGTAATGGCAGACTAATACAAAGACTTTCCATCTGCTGGTTCACTACCCAAAGGCTGGCCACACCGGGTCAGGAGCCCTGAACTTCTTGCAGGTATCCCACGGGGGTAGCAGGGCCCAGGGCCGCAGTTGTCCTCTGCTGCCTCCCGGGGTGTGCATCAGCCAGAAGCTGGAGCTGGGAGGGGAGTTCGAATCCAAACTCAGTCACTCTGACTTATGCCAAGTGCTGTGTCAAGCGCTGCATCAAATGCCTGGCCAGACTTTTCCATATTACTGAGCTTCAGGTGAGCTGGCTATTCCTCAGGAACTGGTTCTTTTGGTGTGGTATCCAAAAAGGCTTTGTCTAGAGGCCCAGTGCAGTGGCCAAGCAGCTAAAATCCTCGCCTTGAACGCACTGAGATCCCATATGGGTTCAGGTTCTAATCCTAGTGACCTGCTTCCCATCCAGCTCCCTGCTTGTGGTCTGGGAATGCAGCTGAGGACAGCCTAAAGCCTTGAGATCCTGCACTCATGTGGGAGACTTGGAAGAAGCTCCTGGCACCTGGCTTCGAATCAGCTGAGCTCCAGCAATTGCGGCTGCTTGGGGAGTGAATCAGCTGAGGGAAGAGCTTCCTCTCTGTCTCTCCTCTCTTTTATTTTCTAATAAAAACAAAATAAATTTTTTTAAAAAGAAGAAAACTTTGCCTAATCCAAGGTCATGATGGTTGACTCGGCTACTACTTTCCAGGTTCTATATGGGTTTAGTTGTTCGATACGGATACACGATCCACTCCGAGTGTCGTGTGTGCACGAGGGTCCATGTCTTTCCCCTGCATGGAGTCTGAGACTGTTAGTGTCAAACACGCTTTATGCAGAAGATCATTCTATTCCTACTGAGTTACGTCGGCACCCTTGTCAAAAACAAATTGGAAGATAAGGCAGGATTCTCAATTCTACTTCACTGACTGACATTATTTTAACCTCAGGCCAGTATCACTATATCTTAAAGGTAAATCTTGTAGTAAAGAAGTTCTAAGTACTCAAATCTCATTGCTCCTTTTCAAGATTACTGACCGTTCTGGGTCAGGATCAATTCCACACAGTATTTCGGATTAGCCTATTGGATTCTCCCAGGAGCAGGCTGGAATTCTGATCGTGGCTACATGTAGTTTACAGGCCAGTCTGGCATGTTGTCATTAGCACAACATCAAGGCACGAGCATTAAACGTCTTCTATTAGCTGTAGGTCTTTTATGTTTAAAAAAAGAAAAAAAAACATTTTGTAGTGCTGAGTATAAAAAATTTTACACTTCTTTTTTAAAGTATACTTCTAAGGATTCTGTCCTTTGTGGAGCTATTTTAACATATAGAACTGCAACTGACTTTATTGATAGCCATCTTGTTGACTTTGCTTAGTTCTCGTTGGTCTTTAAAATTTTTTATTTGAAAGACAGAGTTACACAAAGAGATAGCCTTTCTATTTGCAGGTTTACTCCCGAGTGGTCACAACAGCTGGGGATCGGCCAGCCGTAAGCCAGGAGGTGGACTCTATGCAGGTCTCCCACGTGGGTGCAGGGCTCCATGCACTTAGGCCGTCTGGAGCGCCTCAGCCAGCAGCAGGGAGCTGGGTCAGAAGTAGAGTACCTGGGACTCAAACCAGTGCATATAAGGGAGTACTTACACGACGCTGGCAGGCTGTGACACAACACTGGCCTGCTTCATTAGCTCTAATGTACCAGCTAGATTCCCGATGGCTTTAAAAAAAGGTTTATTTTAAACAATGCACCTTAAAGGTGAGGTTAGAAGGAAAGAGAGGGAGAAAGGGAGCGAAATTTCCCTACAGGCCTCTCATGACTCTTTAGTTTATGCAGCTCTTTCTCCCTCTTACTAAATAATGATAGTTCATGCAGCTGTAAACCAAAGTATTTTGATATTAAAAAAAATATGAAATCCATGCATAGGAGAAAGTATTCAAAACATGTATGGAGATTATGTTCTGTGAAACCACCATTCATGGATTTAAACTGTTTTGGATTACAAAATGTAGCTTTAATTCCATTTTTTAATTGTCATTTTTTAATGAAACACTGTAATGTGTATTTGAGATTGTGCTGTCTGCAAATTACAAAGAGAGTCTCCCCACATCCTTTCTAATCTGGATGCCTTCCTTTTGTTCTCTGGGCTGGCCACCCCACCTGGAACCCTCAGCCCAAGGCTGATGAGAACTGGCCAGAGGACTGTACATCCCTGTCTCCGAGATCCTGGGCACGAATCATTCAGTGCATCACCAGGAAGCAGGACGTTGGCCGTGGTTTCCATGGATGTTGAGCCCCTCATACATTGGCTGGGGATTTTTGCCAGGAAAAGGCTTGGATCCAATCAAATGCTTTTCTGCATCCACTGTGAGGCCCCAGTGCTTTCTTCCCCCTTGTAGTCAGTTGATATATTTTACCATATTGACTGCTTTTCAGATTTTGACACGCCTTGCATTCCTGGGATCAATCCCATTTGTTACCATGTGTTATCTCTCCTGCACTTGGTGGATTGGGATTAGCAGTACTCTGTTATGCTTTTTTTTTTTAATAGTAACACACTTATAAAGGATACTGGGCTAGGCCTGGCAAAATGGCTCAACTGGCTAATTCTCCCCTTTTAAGTACCGGGATCCTATATGGGCACCAGTTCGTGACCCAGTTGCTCCAATCCTGCTTGTGACCTGGGAGGGCAGAGGAAGATGACCTAAAGTGTTGGGACCCCATGGCTCCTGTGACAGTACAGACAACACAACACGCCTCTCTCCCCTCGGCTAAGACGGCCGACCCCGGTGGCTTGTACTCACCTTTGCCACTTCTTTCTGCAGAGCCTGGGTGTTGTTTTGCTCTTCCGGTTTATCCTCTTCCTCATCAAACAAGCTTAGGACAGTCTTGGTTCTACCTTTGGTTCCTCTGTCCGATAGGGATGATGAAGAAAATAAATCTGAGTGTTGGGCTGCGTCCTGAGTAGGCACAGTCACAAGTGTTTCCTGGAAATGGAAATAATGAGAACGTATAAGTAATGGCTGCACATACAAAGCCACCCCCTCTGGCAGGGGCTGCCCCGGTGCCTCGGTCCTGCAGAACCAGCACGACCCAGGGCCCAGGGCTCATCACATTCTACTCCTAGGAACAAAACCCAGGGTAATCCTTCCCAGCTTCCTCCTGGCAGAGTCTGTAAACACGCAGCCAATGATGGCTTTTCCAAAGAGTACACGCACACGGGCCCCTCTTCCTGCGAGGTGGGACAGTAACCTGATGTGCACGGGCTGCTCAGGACCCAGGGAGAATGACTATGGTGCCGAGAGAACACAGAGGCCTGTTGCTGAGAGAGGATCACAGCTGGGCACCTGCCTGGAGTCCCACAGCCGGGGAGTCCCAAGGGAACACCCAACGAGCCATACCAGCCCCTCACACCCCGGAAGACTGACACTGCATAACCGACAGGAATCTCTGCTTCTGCAATGCATCGCCCACGTGTTCAACAGCTGCCACATTTCGTGGAAGCTGTCACTGAGCCGAAGAGCCCCTAGGATTCTAAGTGCCAGGAAGCAAGCAAGACAACTTCCAGGGAATCATGCGTGAACCGTGAGGTGCACTCCAAGAAGAGTGGACAAATGACAGAAAAACAGGCTTCTCTGAGCAAATACGTAATTTACAAAATGGGGCCCATCATGTGACATGTCGTATCCCAAAGCTGAGGGCCAGGTGGGGGCAGCGGGGCAGGAAGGGGTCCTGGTGGGCCTGGAGCACCAAGTCTAACAGTAGCACTCAGAGAAGGGAACAAGTCAGGAAGGGCAAACCCCCAGAGAGGGTGCACACAGGGAGAGGCACCCACATCCTTCAGCAGGCTGCACCTCCACTGCATGCCTGCCTGGGCCTAGCACAGGCCGCAGACAAGGGCCAACCTCAAGGTCTCCCTGAACCACAGGGGCAGATCACTACAGGGTCTTCAGATCTTTCTGCAAATGAACCATTGTTTTCTGTGGCAAATAAATAAATAAATAAATAAAAAGAAAGGTGAATGCGTGAGTGTTTGAATGTGCGTGTGCATGTACGCGTGTGAATGTGTGATGACTTAAACGATACAAAATGTTCTTTCCTTTGCAGGAAAATAAATAAATAAATAAAGCCCACCTGTTCCGACTTCTCAGCAGCATCACTGCTCCCAAATCCCGAGACGTCCTTCGTGCTCTCAGCCTGCGGCGCCACGGGCTCGCCCAGGCCCACCTTTTTCTCTGCCTCATTGCTGAGCAGCAAAGGGGAGTCCTGAGGAACGGATTCTTTTTTCTGCCAGAAGAAGCATAAGGACACCTTTAACAATGAGGACATGCACCTGCCAAGCGTGGCGGCACAGCAGTGAACAGGCAAGAAGCCTTAGGCAGCAGATGAAAGCAGGGAGGGGAGGAAGAGAGGACGGGATGGGCAATGCAACCAGCACTACTTCCTCAGACTTGCAGCCACAGCACATCAGCTTCCAACACTCGGTCACCTGTTTCTGTCCCCTTGGGTCGGCTTCCCCACACTGCCTTCACTCGGGTCTTCACCTCTGCCAAATTCTACTCTCTCTGCCTCCCTTCTCCTCCATTTCCACAGGTGCTGTGGACTCGGTCACTGATCTCCAGGGTGGAGGCAGGGTTTTCATCTAGTACAGGGGCTATAGAGCTGCCCCTCTGTTCTGGGGCTGTTCCACCCAAGGTGAGGCCTGGGCAGGGAGGGGTAGGGTCATCCCTCCTCTCCAGACATGGCAGGTGCACTTCTCCTGATGAACAGCACTACGCTGGAGAGCATGCTTAGAAGCAGGAAACAACCTGTTAAAGAAGGATCTGTCTTGAAGGGCAGGTGTTGGGAGCTGATTTGGGATCGCGTTTCAACAAAACCCTGGGTGGTATCACTGTGATCGCAATGCCAACTGGTCTTCCACATGGGTGTTGGTTCTAACCCCAGGCTCTCTACTTCCAACTCAACTCCCTGCTTATACTCTGGGAAAGCAGAAGACGATGGCTCAGGTTTCTGGGCCCCTTGCATCCACATGGCGTACCCAGAGGAAGTTCCTGAGTTCTGGCTTTGGACCAGCTCAGCTCCAGCCATTGTGGCCATTTGGGGAGAGAGCCAGCAGATGGAAGACCTCTTTCTCTCTGTGTAACTCTTTCAAGCAAACTAAAGGACTCTTTAAAAGAAAAAAAAAAAAGGAAGTTGCTTGCTCCACCTACTCCATGCAAAAAAAAAAAGAAGAAGAAGAAGAAAACAGTACCGTGGCTGCAGAAGGCACAGGCATGGGAGGCGAGCCAAACAGGGAGCCTCCGCTGTCCACGTCATCTTCAAACAAGAGTGACACTCTTTGGGTCTTCTTCTGGCTAAACCAAGAAACAAAGAGCAAAGGTAACAGAATGCAAGCAATGGCCCTCCTGGGCCACTCTTTCAAGAGTATACTCCCTCCTTCCCCCCAAAATACCCGACTTCTCAGTGGACACCACACAGTCCAAAGTGACCAGGAACAGCCTTGAAAGCAGCGAGAGGACCCACGGCCAGTCACCAGCCTCTGCCCCTCACCCTTCTGCGGAGGAACCCAGGGCCTGCCTTGCCCCACTCCACCTGGCCTGGGCACTTGCCTGCAGCACGGGTGCACACAGCTACACACAGGCCTGCACCCACAGCTGTTCACAGTGCCTCCTTCTCTCCTACCACCACCCATCACAGAGGAAGGCCAAGGAGGGCTGAGGCCCACTTCCAGAGCAGTCAGGAGGGCGGCCAACCCAGTGACATTAATGCCTCTGGATGCAAACATCTCAGCAGCTTTTACAACACCCACAGGGGTGTGCAGCAACCACCATGCTCTGAGTTCACCGTGTTTCCGCACCTGCCCCCAACCAGGACTCTCTGCGCCCACCAGCAGCCACTGCCTATCCTTACTCCCCTCTGCCACTGGGGACCACTGCCCCACTCTGTCTTGTGGGCGGACACATTCTGGACTTTCCATGTGAGCACGGACTCTGTGGCCAGTTTCTTTCCATCAACACAGTATTTGCTACGCTCATCTGTGCTCTAGCCTGTCAGTATTTCCTTCCTCTTTACTGCTGACTTCCAGGGTTATACAGCATTTTGCATCTTGGGTCATCAGTTAAAGGACACCTGGGCTGTTTCCATCTTTGGCTAGTAGGAATTAACACTGCAGTGAACACCATGAACAGGTTTTAGATGCACATACATGGCAAGTACCTAGGGGTGGAATGGCGGGTTCCTAGGCAACTAGGATCAGCATCTGGAGAAGTGCTAGCCCTTTTTCCTGCATAGCTTCACTGCTTCCTCAGCAACAATATACAAGGGCGTCATTCTCCTAAATCCACACCTACACTTAGTACCTGCACAAAGCTTCTTTGGAAATGGGATGACAGCCACAGGTATAGCAATGGAGAGGCAACGACAGGATCAACTAAAGCAGAATGAGTCTGGGGCCTACAGAGCCAGGTGGGCAGTGGCGCCACATGAAAGTGGAGCCCAGTCTGCTCTCGGTTCTCACCCTGTTTCTTCTCGTTTATCTGTGAAGGGAGGACAGGTTTCCCAAGAGTGACGCAGGAGGCAGGGCAATAGAGAAGACCAGAAACATAGCCCCTGCACTCCTGACAAGCAATGGTGACAGTTGAGCCCCGCTAGGGTCCCAGATATCACGCTAATGGGCACTTTGCACTTGATCCCATCCAATCGTCTCAACAACCCTGTAAGAGGCATGCCAAGCACAGAGACTCTTGGTTATTAGACAGAAACTTGGAGCTCAGGGATTTAGTATCAGAGATGGGGGGTCCCAGGGCCTCCAAAAAACAGATGCCAAACATCCAGGTGGCAGGTCACAAGGACCTAAAGGAGAATGGGTGGTGTTTGGAGCAATGAGGGCCTTTGGAGATGGAGGTCTGAGTCACGTCCGAATCCAGTCGATGAAGCTTATAGCCATACCAGAGCACACAGCACCGACACCGCCCATCAACTGCCTTACTGCGCTACTGTCAGCTCAATTCCTCCAAGCTCTCACTCAAGAGGAGAAAAAACAACCTTTGCAAGGAAGTTACTCTAAATCCCAGCTGGGGATGTGCACTTCAGCCCTAGGGTCACTACAACAGTCAAGGGGTCCACAGCATGTCCTCCGCAGCTACAGAGAGCACACAGCTCGACACTGACAGGGACATATCCAGCGCTGAGCAGAACCTCCTGCCACGACCAGCGTTCAAAGAACCCCTACCAAACATCACATCCTTTAAGGAAGCCAGAGGAAAAGCAGAGAACAAAGATAAAACACAACAAACAGTACTTAAACATGGTGGACAAATAAGGAAAATATTAAAATAGGGACAATAACTCAGATAAGGAACCTTGAAGACAAGCAAGGGGTGGGTAGGGGAAGGGAGGAGGCCTTCTAAGGACAAAGCACGTCGGGGGAACAGGCAGGCGATGGACAGTCAGCAGTCACCTGACAAGCTGACCACCCTGAGCACCAGGCACGCTTACTGTTCCCACGGATGCTGAGCCAATCATTTCTCATGCTGACCACCTCACCTGTCCTTGGCAATAGCAAAGAGGTCATCTTCATCGTCCTCCTCAAAGAGACTGGTTTTTTCCACAGCTTTGGCCCCCTTGCTCAAGACAGGCCTGGAGTCTTCCCCTCTGGACATGCTATCAGATGTTGGGTTTATCTTGGGCTCAGATATAGTCCACTGGTCCTTAAAACATAAAACATTTATATTAAAATACCCCAGTGGTAATCTAGTCTATAGAACTTGGGGAGCAAAATAAAGATTGCATTTATTAAACGGAGATGAATTTAAGGTCTAAGCTAAGAGTGTCACTGTTGAAGAAAGCAAGATCAATACTTCCTTGGACTCAGCCCTTGGGCTGGATCCTGTGACCTCACAAACTTTCTCAAGACTTTTCCTTCACTTCCTGCCATGGACTTTGTAACTTCCTGTTTTAGGGAAATCAGAATTGATTACATGGGAGACATGGGAGAGAAAAGAAAAAAAAAAAAAAAGGACTATCCACATTGGAGAAGAACAGCATTTTCACTTAAAATCCCTAAGCAGAGTGGGGGAAAAAAAGGTGAAAAAGAGTAAAAATGTAACTAACATCCAGGAAAAAAAAAGTGCAAGGAAAACTGGTGGTGAAACCTTGGGCCTAGAGGTACAAAGGCAGCCTTCGGGAAGGAAAGCTCCCCGCCTGCATTCACACCTGCCGGCCCAGCAGCTCCCAAGCACTTGCTGCAGAGCAGATCCTTTGGCTGTTGCATTCTGCTGAAGCTCGACCGGCCTCGGGCTTCCTGTGGACTCCCCAGCCAGCTTCCTCCCAGGCAAGGGTGCAGAAAGGCCACCTAGGGCAGTGGTGCTCGGGGCTTGGCTGCCAATCTGTCACGCAGCCTTTCCAGAACCCCAGCAAGGAGCTGTAGCCCAAGGAGAAGCACTCAGAATCCAGGACAGAGGGATCCCTTCTCAGTGGTCTTTAGAGCTCCCAGGGGTCAACCCGTCTCCAATCTGGGTGCCCTGTAGCTCCCCACTGGAGCTAATACTCTTATTTTCCCCTGCACAACTATAATAATCTCGCAGGAACTACTCCACTACAAGCTTATGGAAAAAAACAAAACAAACCAAAACAAAGGGCAACTCAACATAAAATCACACACTTGAACAGAAAAGCCAATTATTTTGTTGTGCGACAGGTGATGGCACAGAGGCTGGTCCCTGCCGCACGTGGGGAGATCTGGACTGTGTTCTGCCCTTCTGGCTTCGGCTTGGGCTGGGCACTGCGGGCATTTGGGCAACGAGCCAGTAGATGGAAGGTTATTCTCTGTCTCATTCTTGCTCTCTGCCTTTCCAACAAACAGAAAACTTCTTCTTTTTTTAAAATTTCCACCCAAGCATCTCTTTAGGAGAAACACAGAGCGTGAACCCACCTCCTCGTCACTGCTGAACAGTAAGGCAGGCGCTTTCTTCGTGGAGGGCAGCGAGGACTTTGCCTTCTCCTGACTCTGAGTCGGCAGGGATGATGTCTGCTTCTTAGCAGCTGTAGCCCCAAAAAGGTTATCCTGGAAAACAAAAGATGAAGTGGGAAGGCAGCTCGCCCCACACCAAAGTAAACGCAAGGCTTCCTTCCGAGCCCAGGGTTCAGTGAGTTTCCAGTTAGGAACAGATTATCCCTCCCTTGAGGTGGGAGGAGGGGAACTTTTGATTTAAATCCATATACCCACATTTTTTTTTTTTTCAGAGACAGAACACATTCTCATACACTGGTCCTCCAAATGCTTCCAACACCTGAGCCAGGAACTCAACCCAAGTGTCTCACATGAGTGGCAGAAACCCAAATATCAGATCGATCCATCAGCCCTGCCTCCCAGCGTCTGCACTAGCAGGAAGCTGCAGTCAGGGGCTGCAAGTACACATCCCGTAGTGGACATATGTAGTCTGAGTTACGCAGGCTTTCCAGTATGGGATCTGGGCTTCCTGACCAACTGGCACAACTTTTAAAATCACCACTATACATTTGCCATCTTTTTTCTTAGTTGTCATTTTGATCCTACTTTCTGTTAGGTCATGAGACCAAAGGTCAAGTTACTTGCTGAAGGTTTCCGAGTTGAAAATGCTGGCGCTCGACCATGAACCCAGGATTCTGACTCCACGCCCTATGAGCCAGCCAGCACAAGCAGCCAGGTGGGCTTCCCTGCCTTATTTCTCCCTCCACTTTGGAGTCCCCGTCCAGGCTGGGGAGAAAGGCAAGGTCTGGCTACGGCCTTCTCATTTTCACTCCCACTTTAGCTGAGACTTCTGTGGGGACCATGGGGTATAACAAGGAACCACTCTCAAAAGCACTTCTCAAAGGCCGACTCCAGAGCATGACATCCAGGGTGGGCATTTAGCTAAGACACTAGTTAGAATGCCCACATTCCACATGTGAGTGCCTGGGTTCAAGACCCAGTTCTGCCTCCTTGGGGGGAGGGGAACAGGAGGTGATGACTGAAGTGACTGGGCTCCTGTTGACCACGTGGAGACCTGCACTGCAGTCCTGGCTCCTGGTTGCAGCAGCCCAGCTCTTGCCAACGTCTGGGGAGTGAGCCAGTGGGTGGGAGTGAGCTCACACATTCTCTCTGCTTGCCTCTCAAACATACATAAATAAACTGCAAAAATTTTAAATGAAATCTGTGCAGCCTTCTGTAGGAACTAGGTCACGAGTCTTCCCTGTGTTACAGTAACTGCCTAAGAAAGTCACTGACACACACAGAGATGTTTTTGTGAAATAAGCCTGAGACGGCCCATTTCTCCCGCACCTTCCTTCTACTGTTGAGCCTCTCTGGCTATACACTTATACTAAGCACAAAAGTGAAAGTCAATAATCTAATGTTATGATAACCATACTCACATCTTCATCTTCATCATCGAAAAGGGAGACCGATGGTGGCAGCTTGCTAGGCGGCAGAGATGCACCTTTTGACTTGCTCATGTTTTGAGAAGAAAACAAATCCTATGGACAGAGCAATAAAGTTGTTGGATAATACCCGTGTCCGTTCACACAGTGTCAGCTCAACAGGAGGCACCGGAGCCCAGGACACGATGGCTGCCATATGTCTAGGCTCCTCCCATCAGAGAGAGAGGGTAGCTGAGACAGCAGCCTCAAGACGGCAGGCCTAGGAGCAGGCACTGTGGCACAGAGGGTTAGGCATCACTCGGGATGTCCCTGTCTCACGCTAGAGTGCTGGTGCCACTGCCAGCTACTCCCCTCTGACCCAGCTTCTTTCGAGCATGCACCCTGGGAGGCAGCGGAAGATGGCCCAAGGACCAGGGCCCCTGCCACCACGTGGAAGAAGGGGGTGGAGTCACTGGTTCCTGGTTTGGTCTGGTCCAACCTCAACTGCTGTGACCATTTGGGGAGTAAGCCGGTGGACAGAAGTTCTCAAGTTCCTAAAATGTTATAAATGTGAAAATTCTCAAAATGTTATAAAGCATCAGCTGGTATTTTGATAAAAAAAAAATCTATGAATCGAGCTATGTGGGTCAAAAAGGTAAAATATGACACTTATTCCCTTAAGGAAAGAAACCTCAATAGGCAAGAACCACACAATTAATTAGGACAAAAACAACTAATTAGGACAAGACATGGACTCACTGTCCACTCCTCAGATCTGCATCTAGTGAGTTTATCTACCACCTCCTTCTCAGCACCATCATTTTCTTTTTCCTTTAAGATTTAGTTACTTGAAAGGGAGAGTGACAGAGAGAGGGAGAGGAAAAGAGGCAGGAAGAGAGAGCAATCTTTCACCTGCTGGTTCACTCCCAAATGGCAGCAACGGGCAGGCTGGGCCAGACCAAAGCCAGGAGCCTAGGACTCCTTCCTGGTCTCCCACATGGTAGCAGAGACCCAAGCACCTTGGCCATCATCTGCTGCTTTCCCAGACACATCCACGTGGAGCTAGATAGGAAGCAGAGCAGCTGAACCTGAACCCATGATCTGATATGGGAAACTGGTCTTGCAGATGGCAGGTTGACGCAAGTGCCACAGGCGGTAGTTTTCACCTGTGCCCGATGCAGTCTGCAGGTTTGTCTGTGGGGGCACAGTCGACAGGGAGCCCAGGCCTCCTGCATCCCTAAAGTATCTGATACACTGGCAAAACCAAGGGATCTGTGGCATTAAGGAAGTCAAAGTAAACCAGAGCAAAAGCCATAAATGACACCAAGGATATGACCTGCTTCCAAGAGTGACCTGTGTCCATCCTGACCGTGGGCAAACAGGCCAGCCTCAGCAGCCTACCCTGATGTCCACGCTTCCTGGTGATGACACAAACATCTACCAGGCCCACATTCCATTCTCTTGTCTCTGACCCTTCAGAAGCTTGTGTGCAGTGAGTCCTACAGGGCTCTACATCTGAAATACCAAGAAGTTTCTGGGAGCTGGCACCACTGAGCCCAGGAGGCACCAGGCTGCCTGTCACACCGAAAGGCAGGGCCACACACAGCCTGCACCAAATCCACTAAGGACTGAGAGTCAAAGGAAGCAGCACCTCAGCCTCCGTGTCATTTAGCACAGGTGCCTCCATCGCCCTGTGGACCAATCAGTCCTCTTCAAACCGGAACATCCCAGACAGAGTGATTTTCCCAGGGAGATGTAACGGAATCAAGTCCCAGAGAGTACAGCGAGGCTCACATTTTGCTTTCCAAGGTTTGTATGTTCTCAACAGATTCCGTTCTAAAAAAAACACTAAATAATTCTTAGAACATATTCTACTTGTAAATAGGGATTTCAAACTTATGTGCACCAAACTAAACTTAATTTTTAATTTGATTTTTCATGAGTTTCTGAAGCCCTCAAATCCCCTTACTGAGGAAAAAAAACAAAAAACAAAAAACAAAAAGCTGGCTGACAAAGTTTCTAATACAGCGTCCACACACTCAGACTCCAACCAGAGAAGAAGCAGCTCCTTACCTCAGAGTCCTCCTCATCGGAAAACAAACCTTTGTGGGTCTTCGTTTCCGACTTAACCTGGAGATTTTTGTTGGAAGGTAGGGTTGCCTTCATTGGGGACACAGGGGCAAAAAGAAACAGTGAGAATTAGCAAACAAGACAACTGGAATGAGGGCTGACTCAACCACTCACTCACCAAGCATGCTGAGTTGTCTGAGGAACGGGTACTTGTAAAGACGATGCAACGACCACGGGTGTGTACGCAGTTCACACAGAACCAACGCAGAGCGAGCGCGAACCGGGAGGAAAGGGTTACAATCTACAGCGGGATGCTAAATCCTCGACTGGACACTGGATGTACAATTTACTTCAATGCCAACTTCCAACGCAAAGAGTTGGGTGCCCCCTACCCTAATCGCTGTCAAAGACCACCAGATGCAGCATTCAGTTTCTGGCTTCAGCCTGACATTTGGAGAGTGAGCCAACATGGCGAGAGTTTTCTTTTTGAAGAGAAAATGAAAGAATACAAAGGGAGTAGTTATGCTAAAGAGATTTAACACTGGTTTGGCCTGGCTTAGCTCCAAGTGTTGTACAATTTGGGCAATGAACAAGCAGATGGAAGATACTCTCTGTGTTGTAACTCTGACTTTCACATAATGATAAATAAATCTTAAACAAACAAAATAACCAAGAAGGCAGAAGGTACAAGTGATCTATCAGAGACTGCTGCCTCACACCGGACACAGACGGGCTGCGTGCCAGAGACACAGGTCAGGCTGCTGTGGGAGTCACGAATGCTGCACTCAGGGGCAACAGGAGAAAGCTGAGGCTTCACAGCCAGGGTAGGACACAATGAGAAACAGTGGTAGAAACACAGGCAAGCAGGGCAGGATGGCAGGGGAAGGGGAGGCAGGCCACGGGACATAGCCTACTGGCTGAACCCAGGCCAGCATGAGCACATCAGCCAAACATATTCAAGGGGGGATATGGCATAGGAGGCAGTAAGTAACTAAACAACCCCTGGTTCAAGAGCAGCATTAAAACCCACTGGGAAGGCAGGCAGCCAAGAAAGGGGCAAGAAACACAGAATCAAACTTCGGACAACCCTAGCAGGACAAAGTCAAGAAAAAGTCATCTGGGTTGTGAAGACCACCCAGCAGGGGCTGGCAGAGAGGAGGGCCACATGTCAGACACCAGGTCGCTAGTGACAGAGTCTGTCCAGAGACATGTCGTGGGCCACTTAAGCCGAGGGAACAGAATCCATCACCTCATGAGGACAGTGCACCTGAGGTACCTCAGGAGGTGACAGAGCAGGAAGTACACACCTGGCTGGCCTGTATTCCTGTATTCCTTCAGGCGGATGCTGTGGTGCAGCACAGTAAGATTCTACTGGTGAGCTTACATCCCATATTCAACCTACTCCAATATCAGAGTGCCCAACTTTACATCCTGGCTACTTCCATTAAGCTCCCTGATAATACACTTGGAATGATGGCAGGGGACAGTACCAGAATCTGGGATCCTGCCACACACAAGTGACAGGGATGGAGTCCTGGCTCCTGGCTTCAGCCTGGCCTAGTACAGGTTGTTTTGGCCATTTGGGGGAGCGAACCAGAGAACATCTCCCCACCTCAGTTACTGTGCTTTTCTCAAAAATTTGTAAATGCATTTTGAAATAAACAAAGTTTAACTTGAATATAGTCACAGGAATGTAATCAGATAAAATCCACATTATATGTTCTGCAAAACAACTGGCTCGCCATAAACACAAATACTACAGGTGACATCTGAAGATAGAAAGTCAGCATACAGAGCATGCAGGAGATAATTTAAAACCAGTATCACTGTTGGGTATTATAAGACATTCTGGGGGCCAACTCTTTATGGGCCAGACTCCAGATTCTACTATAGAATCACCCTGATCATGGGGCTGTTGAAGAAGGGGGCGGCTGCAGGAGAGTCTTTTCAGAAAGTGCTCAGTGATATAGTTAGGGGTGAAATGTCATGATGCCTGCAACTTCCTTGCAAGCAGTTAAACATGTATACCAACAAAGGAAGGTTCAGAAACAAAGTATCTAGAAATTTCCTGGGAGTTCCTGGCTCCTGTGCCCCGCCCCCACTCTGCACTCTCTTTCACTCCGAAGTTTTCCACCATCGCTGTGAATGGACAGAACATGCTCCCCCGCCCCACCTCCCCCAGGGATGCAGAGGAAGGAAGAGGCCCACCCCGTCAACCCCCTCAGGCCTCCTCCCTCTGCTTCACCTGTTTTTGGGCCCTGGCTTTCTTTTCATCTGTCTGGTTCACAGTGTCTCCTGGCAAAGCTGCCTTCTCTTTGAACAGGTCTCCCTCCTCGTCGTCAAACATGTCCGCGGTGGACCTGACCTGGCCTTTGGGAAAACAGCACAGCACAAAATCAGAGCAAGGCAAAGGAAAATCCCTCCACCAAGTCCACAGAGCTCCCATGACTCCTGGGGCAATTTGAGCCCCTGACCAACACCCTTGTTCAAGCAGCAGTTCCCTGCGCTTAGAGCAGTGTGGGCTGGCTTACAGGGGCACAGACTCCTGGGGGGAGAAAGGTCAAGTAAGCCACCCCAGGTTTCTGAAACACAAAAGGCTGGATCTGGCTCTAACCTCACACACACTACAAAAAAAGCAGATTAAAGCTCATACTGAAAGCCCTGTAACTCCATCTGTCCCCTCAAACAAGGAAGGCATAGGCCTCCCGCTCCCCGCTAGGACTGACCCATGTTAACATTCATGGTTCACGAATTGCACTTTCAGTGATAAGCACGCCTGGGACAACCTGTCTTACCATTTGCACTTCCCACTTTCCACCTACCGCACCTGGGAAATGGGCCCGAGCTGACCTGCAGCTACTTCCTTTCTAACAGCCTCACAAAAGGTTCCAGTAATTGGAAAAACCCAGCTCACTCTCCTGGGGAGCATCAGGCTGGTTTCACTCCCATAGGTGCTGTCACACTGAACGAGGGGCATGAGTGTTGCTCAAAGAAGGTCGCTGTTTTAGGAATGTCCCCGGGGACTTGGGGGGAAAAATCACCATGATCTATCTGGGAATCTGGATCAGTTCTCAAAGGGAACCACTCCCGGGAGCCTGTGTAGCCACAGGAGGTGACTGCTTCCTTCCGCAGTTTCAGCCGGCCTAGATCTGAGTCTAGCATGCATCTGCCTGTGCTCTTCAAGAATGAAGCTACCACCTGCCTGCACACTTCCGCTTTGCTCCTTTCTATGCCGGACACTGGCGAAGGAGAGCAAGCCCAGGCGGCGTGCTGCTGAACACGCCCTGCCCTGGCGCCCGTATTTTTATCACCTCTCCTCCTTCAGGTCGCTGAAATCCATGTGCACTTCTGCCCCACCCTCCTTCCTGGAAAAAAACTCCCATAGAATCCAGGTCTGGCCACCTGCAGTGTGACCCCCTCCCCACAACTAGTGACCCCTGCCCAGCAGGGAACTTGTGAGAAACGCGGGTGGACACTCAGGACCCCATGCTGGACCCACTGCATCAGGAGTTTCATGCTGATAACAGCTCCGAGAGGGCCGTCCCCATCAATGGACTGTGAAATATGGATGGAGGGTAATGACACCGGGATGTTTCCGGAGCAGAAAACGGGAGTCTATGAACCGAGGCCTCCTAACCACCCCATGTTTAGTGCAGACAGAACAATAGAAGACAGCAGTGCCCGAGGAGGCACTCTGGTGCTGAGCACAGAGCTAGTGTCTGCCAGGAGCTCAGGGCTTTGCAGTCAACACTCTCCCTCCTGTACTGAGCCCCCAGCAACAGCCATGGCCCACGGCCCGGGTACCTGACAGGGAAGGTTTGCTGTGGGATGCTGCAAAAAGGTCATCGTTGTCATCATCGTCGTCAGCTGCAAAGAGTCCAGCTGGAGCTGGGAGGTGGGGGCTCTTCCCGGGAGGGGGCTGCTCGGGTTTCTGGGGCTCCTTCCGGGAGGGTGCAGAGGTGACCCCAAACACATCGGTGTCCCCTGTGGCTGCAGAGACAGGGATTGTCACAGCCTGAGCGGTGCCACCTGCTGAGAACTGGGCGTTCATCAGCAACACATGCTGGCTGCACCCAAATGCCTCGTACAGTTACCACTGAACACGTCTCTCACGCAGAATCTCCTGGCCACTAAACACAGGAAGTCCCAAGTCACTGTCTGAGATGATGGGAGCTGGCACCAAGCTGTGTCACAAGCCGTGGCCTGTGGCAGGTCCCTCCTCATCTCCTGCCAGTCCTGAGAGGAGGGTAAATTTTAAAATGACAGTGCAAGGGTCTGGGGCTGAGGCATCGCAGGTAAAGCTATTTCCTGCAGCGCCAGCACCTTGTATAGCCACTGGTTAGCATTTCCAGTCCAGCTCTCTGCTCATGGTCAGGTAAAGCAGCAGAGGATTTGCTAGAGGCCCTGCACTCACATGGATGACAAGAAGAAGCTCCTGGCTCCTGGCTTTAACTGTGCCCAGCTCCAGCCATTGCAGCCATTTGGGGAGTGGACCAGCGGATGGAAAGGGTTTCTCTGTTTCTCCATCTCAAAATGTCTTTCAAGATAAATAAATAAATAAGCCCATCAACTAAAACAGAACAAAACTATAGTTCTTTTACCTAAAAACACAGAGACTCCTCCTGCTGGGATTTTCTTTGCAGGTTTGGAGGATGAAGGTTCTGGAATGAGAAAGGAACAGGTACTCACTGCATACACAGAAAACCTTCCCTTGCTAAACCCAACTCCCCGGGGAGTGTGCAGTGAACTGCTGCTAACACAAGTCCTTCCTCACTAGTCACGGCCCGGCTCCCTGTTCTCTCCTTCCTGACATCAGGGCTCCCTGCACTCGGCTCAAGTAAGTTATCCTGTGGCTCCCTGGAGGACGAGCTGGGTCATGGAGGGGAGGGGAGATTTGGGAGGGCTGCCCAGACACAGGGTCATGGTGACAGGGGAGAGCCGGGAGAGTTGCCCAGATACAGGGTCATGCTGGGGGAGGGGAGAGCTGGGAGGGCTGCCCAGATACAGGGTCATGCTGGGGGAGGGGAGAGCCGGGAGGGCTGCCCAGATACAGGGTCATGCTGGGGGAGGGGAGAGCCGGGAGGGCTGCCCAGATACAGGGTCATGCTGGGGGAGGGGAGAGCCGGGAGGGCTGCCCAGACACAGGGACATGGTGACAGGGGAGAGCCGGGAGGGCTGCCCAGACACAGGGTCATGCTGGGGGAGGGGAGAGCCGGGAGGGCTGCCCAGACACAGGGTCATGCTGGGGGAGGGGAGAGCCGGGAGGGCTGCCCAGACACAGGGTCATGGTGACAGGGGAGAGCCGGGAGGGCTGCCCAGACACAGGGTCATGGTGACAGGGGAGAGCCGGGAGGGCTGCCCAGACACAGGGTGATGGTAGCGGAAGGGAGCCGGGAGGGCTGCCCAGACACAGGGTGGTGGTAGAGGAGTGGAGGGTCAGGAGGAATGCCCAGATATGGGGTCGTGGTAGGGGATGGGAGAGCTGGGAAGGCTGCCCAGATAGTCCCAGCTTGACTCACCGAGGTTGGTAACAAGAACTTGAGCGAGCAAACAAAAAAATAAAGGAAAACCGTAGGAGAAAATATGGAAAGTGGCCCTGTCATGTCACCATCTCTGGTGGCAGGAAATGGAGCCCAGGAACTGGGGAGCCCCCAAGCGACGTGGCTTCACAGGGCTCGGAGCTGATACCCAACCTGGGAGCTGCTGAGCTTCTTAAAAAAAATCCCCAAGTCGGGCCCGGCGCGATAGCATAGTGGTTAAAGTCCTCGCCTTGCACGCGCCGGGATCACATAGTCGCCGGTTCTAATCCTGGCAGCCCTGTTTCCCTTCCAGCTCCCTGCTTGTGGCCTGGGAAAGCAGTCGAGGACGGTCCAAACCTTTGGGACACTGCACCCGCGTGGGAGACCCGGAGGAGCTCCTGGCTCCTGGCTTCAGATTGGCTCAGCTCTAATTGTTGCGCTCACTTGGGGAGTGAATCATCGGATGGAAGATCTTCCTCTCTGTCTCTCCTCCTCTCTGTATATCCATCTTTCAATAAAAATAAATACATCTTTAAAAAAAAATATCCCCAGGTCCTGAGAGCTAGTACAAACCTCGCGGCACAGAATCTGCACATCTGGGTTTTAATTTACACTCCTTACAAATGTCACTGAGTTGGGGGTGAGGACCTCACAGGAGCCACTTGGGACATCTACACCATAGGGAACCTGGGTCCAAGTGCCAGCTGCGCATCTTATTACAGCTGCCTGCTGACACACTCTGGGAGGAAGGTGGAAATGACTCTGGCCCTCGGGTGGCCACTACCCAGAGAAGACCTGGACTTTGTTCCAAGCAACCGGCTTTGCCTCAGCCCAACTGCAACAGGCACTTGAAGAATGAACCAGGGAATGGGGGGGTTATCTCTGCCTCGCTTTTACCTTTCAAATAAACAGAAAAAAGTTTAAAAGGCCACAGGGGCAGGTGGATGGCCGAGCAGCGAGGATGCCCGAGTCACATACTGGTGTGCTTGGGTTTCAGTCCTGCTCCGGCTCCTTCCAGCTAATGCAGGCCCTGGGAGGCAGCGGCGATGCCTCAAGTCCTGGGGTCCCTGCCACCCACATGGGAAACCAAGACTGAGTCCGCAGCTCTCGGCTTCGGCTTCAGCCATGGTGGAAGCCTGGGGAGTGAACCCACAGGTGTGAGCCGGTCGGCCTTATCCCTCTCTCAGATAAACAAAGAAAGGGGAAAGAAGCAAGGGGAAAGGGAGACGTGAGTTTCCAGATGGCTCAGCTCTTCCTGAGACACGAATGACTGAGCACGCACAGCTTAACTGAACCAAGGCTCCCGTGAGACGAAGGAGCACAGCTTGAGACGCACTTCGGGGGTCCCCCTCCTGACAGCAAAGACACAGTTCTGGGGGCTCTGCTTGCCAAGAGGCAGAGGCGGCCAGGCCCAGCCTCGGCGCACCTTCTCGTACGGGTGTTCTGGTTGGCCGATCCCGCGGGGCATCCTTGAAGAGGTCGCTCTGCAACAAGGTGCAAGATGGAAAATGCTTCAGCGAGAGGGAGAAGCGCATGCGCATTTCAAGATGTCTAAGAAAAAGGCACGTGTAAAAGGGAGACCAGTATGTTTACTGTCCATTCCGACACCCACGTGGTAGGTGACTCCTAGATGCGGCTTCAGTCCTGCCTTGACCGTGTGGGCACGTTTGAAATACATTTTCTAAAAGCATTTGTTCAATGTCTCAAAACAGACTGAAGCGACTCCCACACAAAGTCATCTCCCCCATTAAAAGCGACAAAGCCCATCTCTGGCAGAGGACACATGCCACAGCCAGGTGTGGGGAGCACGGCTGAGTCCCTCCGACTTACCTCATCGTCCTCGTCATCAAACAGTCCCTGCCCGCCGCTGAACAGGCCCCCTCTGGAAGCGAAGGGCGAGAAGTCTTCGTCGGTCAGCTTAGGAGGTGCAAACATATTCTCGTCTTCATCTAACAGAGAGCAACATTACGTGCGCGGAGTTAACGGTGGGTTTGGACTCAGACGCCCAGAGTTCACAGACCCCCCCCCCCCCCCCCCACTGAACAAGGAGTGCTGGACAGCAAATACACGCCCCGCAGAGTGCCCCAAAGCTCTCCCTCCACAGGCTCTCAGGTCTGCGGACGCCTGGAACAGACGGCCTGAATCCTCAAGGCTGTGCCCCTGCCTCTGGGCATACTTGTCCTGAAGCACTCACTCGGTTCACCTGCTGCCACATCCCACCCAGGCCCGCAACCAAGAATCTAGGCGAGGATGCGGCCAGCTGAACAGAGACTTCAGGTGGGCACAGTGAGGAGGGCAGGGGAGGGAACAGCATGCTGAACGCAGAAGGGCCTGACCTGTTCCCTCCAGAAAACAGATGCCACAAAGTTCAGTTTCAAGACTTAGAGAAAATTCTAGGACAGATAACTAGAAATATCACAAATTCTGATCTTCACAAGGGGTTTTAATCTACACTACCACAAATCCTAGCATGCCCAAACATACTTTCAGAAGCTCTGAATGGGTGAATGAGAGACCCTACTCATCCAGAAGCACATTATGAATTACGTAAACAGCCCATGAGCTCCCAGAAAAGCGAAGTGGAAGAGAAAGCAGAGGCCTCCTAGCTGGAGGGAAAGCCTCATCCTTTTCAGTCTACGTCTTCTGGGGGGGTTCGCTCCTCCTGTGGGTAAGGACTGAAGGATATGTTTCAAAAAGAGGTGGTCCACCCTTACCAGCTCCACACGTATTCTTTAATTTACTGCAAATGGTGAGAAAAGCTCCCGACATCTGTCTACCCCTTTCTGTGACTAGGACACAGCACACAGCACATGCTCCTCTAACCCACAGTGTGGGGGGAAATGCTAAGCCAGGGATTCTTCTCTGGGGTTAGGGTTCTCTGGCTCCCCCCGTGCCCCACTCAGGTGGGTACAAGGTTACACAGACACGCCCGCATGCACCATTATCACAAGGAGCCCAAGGAGCAGAAGAGAAGCCACAATTGCGTCTTTGGGGTCCCAGGGATTACAAAGGGAGCTCTGTCCTGATGAAGCAAGGGTCCTACGCATCCCCCAGCACACCCGGTGACCCCGTTCTGGTGCTCACCTGTCTGCTCCTCTTCCGGTCGGCCTGGAGCCTCCCCTTTGATTCGTGCCGCCAGCTCATCAGCAAATGACGTGGGCCTTTTCTACAGGCAAGAGAGACCAATGCAATCACTTTCTGTAATAGGCAACTGGTTTGGTTTTACTTTTGGACCCGTCCCAACAAAGCAACTGTTAACACGGAGAAGTCATACTTCCATCACAGGGGCCTAAATGTGTACACGCTGTTCAGATCAAACAACACAATCCACAAAACACCCCTCTGAGGGGCGACACTGTATTTCCTTATTATTTAATATCTCACCTTGATACCTGAAAACCTGAATCATAAACCAAGGATGAGGTGCTGAGGAGAGAGGAATATTACAGAGCCTCCATCCTGGCACAGGGGGTTAGGCTACGGCTGGCAACACGGGCACCCCATATCTCAGTGCTGGTTCGGGTCTCGACTACCCCGCCCCTGCTCTCACTTCCTGCCAAGGCACCTGGGAAGGCCGCAGATGACGGCCCGTGTACTTGGGTCCTATAACCCATGTGGGAAGAATGGATGGTGCTTCCGGCTCCTGGCTTCGGCCGGGCTCAGCCCTAGCTGTTGTGATATTTGGGAATGAACCAGTGGACACCATATTCTTTCTTTTATCTGTCCCCTGCTATTACTCTGCATTTCAAATGAATAAGTCAGACCATAAAAAAGAGAAACAAAATAAAACAAAGTATACCAAAACCACGGAGCTGAATCTACTCGGAAGGACCTGACTTGTGAAACCATCACAGCTGGACAACAAACAGGCCCCCCCTGCAAGGCAGCTAGGGATGCTCACCGCTATTTGCAAGCACGTAAACTAAAATCACGTAAACACGCAGAATGAGACGACTACAAATGCAAGTGACAATACAGGGAGCAATCCTCAGGGACCACTTCTAAACTCGCACCAAGTGACACCAACTACTCCTTCTTACGGGTTTGGTGGTCTCAGCAACATCTTCCATATCGTCCTCCTTCTCAGAGTCAGCAAACAGGTCACAGCCATCATCATCCTCTTCTTCCTCACTCAGCTGCGCTGCGTGCTGTGCATGCAAGATGTCAGGTTAGAACTCCGCAGGGCGACACTGACCACCACCCCTACCCGCCTACTACAAAAAGACAACAGCTTCTTCTTGTGCTGATGCTGATGATGACCACACACAGCATAAGAACAGAGAGAACATAAAAGCAAATAATGGGATACTAGCAACGCCTACCTCCAGAGAAATAACGACTAAGCATGGTCTTACCCCTGGTAGGAATGCTAGCGGGGGGGGTACTGGAAGCAGCAGTTACGACCGTACTTGGGAAGGGCACATCACTTCTCAGGGCCTGCATTCCAGTCCTGGCTAGGCTCCCGATTCTAGCTTCCCCACTAATGCACCCCCAGGACAGCAGTGGGTGATGGTACATGGGGCCCTGCTAACATCCAGATTAAATTCCAAGCTCCCTCCTTTGGCCTGTGCCAAGCTGGAGCTGCTGTGTGCATCTGAACAATAAAGCAGCCAGTGGAAGATCTGCCTCTGTCCCTCAAACAAAATAACTGCTGGAAAGGCCCACATTCAATACTGCAGTGTGGCTGGGTTAGGTCCCAGCTCTGAACCAAATTCCAGCACCCCTCCCGATTCTGCACATGCTGGGAGTCAGGAGATAGGGTTTAAGAAATGGTTTCCTGTCACTCACAGGAGAGAACTGAATTGGGTTCCCAGGTCCCAGCTCCTGCCTGGCCCAGACCTGGCTGCACACTGAGCTTTGATGCCAAGGTTAAAGCAGAGTCACTTCAACGCAGGAGCCTTACCCGGTTTGCGTCATTGTCACTGTGATTGGCAAACTCTTCATCTGACTCCTAAGAGAGGGAAAAAAAGGCCTGTTGGTAACTCAGGTTTTCCTTAGAAGCACAGCAAGCCTTCAGGTCCAAAGTGTCAGACTGATTGTTAGGTGAGGGAAGACGGACGCTCAGTCTCTTTCATCGACGCCTGGACATCCTCAGCCTGCTGACCAGGTTCTCGCTCACCCTGACCCGCCCAGGCCACAGCCTTCTCACCTCCTCTTCCTTCTCTTCCTCACTGTCCACAAGACTGCCACGATCGCTGCCCACAGAGCCTTCTGTCAAGAGGAGAGGTAAGGGTTAACAGCACAGCTTCCTGACAAGATGCAGAGCACCAGGCGGCAGCACCAGCAGCTCCCATAAAGCCCCGGTACTTCTTCATTGGAACTCAAAGGATCATTGCAACAAGGAATGGCTAGCTCCCCACCAGATGCTTCCTTGCAAGAAAACAAACAAACAAAAAAAGCAAACCCCTGGTCTGTACTGTCCAAAAATGACAAGGTGAAGAAAAATGAGAAAGTTTTAGAAGTTCTATCAGGTGAAAGGTGACTGACAGAGATCTGCCAACTAAACACTGTGGGTGGGCTGGGGCTGAGTTCCTGACTGCAGAGACCACAAAGGACATGTTAGGACAACTGGCAACAGCTGAATCTGACCAAATACAATGCAATAGTATGATGGCCAGAAATTTTTCCATATCTTGATACCTACACTCTGATTTTACATAAGAGAAAAATACCCTGGTTCTTAGAAAATACAGAAATAGGGCTGGTGTTGTGGCTTATCGAGTTAAGGTATTGCTTGCAATGCCAGCATCCCACAGAGGAATGCCTGTACAGGTCTGGCTGTTCCACTTCCAATCCACCTTTCTAATTATGTGCTTGGGAAAACAGACAAGATGGCTCAAGTGCTTTGTCCCCTGCTACCCACAGGGAACGTGGAAAGAGTTCCTGGCGCCTGGCTTCAGCCTGGCCTAAACCTGCCGTTAAAGCCATTTGGAAAGTGAACCAGTCATTGGAAGATTTCTGTCTCTCTTTTCTGTCACTCAGCTTTTCAAAGAAAATAAATCTTAAAACAAAAAAACAAAAAACCAGGGCACAACATGATTGAATAGTGACTAAATCCTCGTCTTCAATCTGCTGTGTCCCAAATGGGCACCATTTCACATCCTGGAAGCCTATTTCCCATCCAGCTCCCTGCCTGCAGCCTGGGAAAGGAGCAGAGGACAGCCCAAAGCCTTGAGACCCTGCACCTGCATGGGAGACCTGGAAGAAGCTCTTGTCTCTTGGCTTCAGATTGGCTCAGCACCAGCCACTGTGGCCACTTGTGGAGTGAATCAGCAGATAGATCCCTCTCTCTGTATCTCCTCCTCTCTGTGTATCTGCCTTTCCAATAAAAAACACTCAAATATGGAGGAGTATTAGGGCATAATAGCTCTCAAGCAGTGGAAAAAGACAAAATAAAAGTAGCATATTAACAACTTGGAATTCTGGGTATAATGTAAATGGGAGCTTTTTGCATGATTCTTACAATCTTTATGCAACATCTGACATCACTGTAAGTTAACCAGATGAAAGTGACAGTTGAAAGTGACTAGGCATTGGCAGCGAACAGCACTGGACAGCTCCCCCAGCCCCACACCCTCCTGCTCCATGATCAGCACCTTCACTGGACAGCTCCCCCAGCCCCACATCCTCCTGCTCCATGAACAGCTTCGAGCCAATCAGGTAAGGCAGAGGTCGATCTACATACAGGTCCTGCGAACAGGAACAGGAAAAGAAGTCACTGATTACACAGAGGAAAGCCAGAGACTTGCACTTGCCTTTTTTTTTTTTTAAATCCCATTCGATCACTCCAAACAAGAAATATGACAAGATTAAAAATTTAAAAAGAAAATCATTACTGCTGAGGAAGTGCAGTCTTCGCCAAGTTGGCCAAGGGAAACTGAGTCACAAAGTAGCTCCCATCCTGGTGCCTAATTAACTGAAAAGAGCAAGAGCCTGTGCAGCATTTGCAGCAGAAATCCAGAAAGGAAATGAGCATGGCTGGTTGGTCACAGCACTCGTCCCTGCTACCTCCCCTTTAACGTGGGGGTAAAGGGACGAGGAGCAGCTGCTAGCTTCACGGTGATCCTGTTCTAGAACGGTTCACAGCAGCTGTCTATGCAAACCCAGAAGCCTTCCACCCCTTCTGCAATCCTAGCATAGCTACACGGAACTGCGAGCTCCCAAATAATCTGCACATCTCGGGAGCCTCCCCACCCTGCAAACCCAACTCTTCATGCTGAGATCTGGGGAGGGGATCCTGGGCAGAGGTAGGTCACAGGATCTGAAATGTCAAAGGGACAAGAAGAGCTTCATTGTAGACCTATGGCACAAGGCGGAGTCCACAGCTAGGAATGCATTTGACCATCACTAAGCCAGCAGATTTGAAGTGACTTCATCACCAGAAATATCAGCAGGAGAGGTATTAAGTAACTAAGTTAGCTTAAGTTATTCCAGTGTATGCAATGTTTCAAAACAACATGTTATTTATCACAAACATTTACAAACTTTAAAACATAATAAAACTTCGGGGACAAAGCAACTGCTCAACAAGCAAATTTGCCACCTGCAAGCACCAGCATCCCATACAGGCACTCGTTTGTGTCCCAGCTGTTCCATTTCCAATACAGCTCCCTGCTAATGGCCTGGGCAGTGGAGAATGGCCCAGCTGCTTGGGCCAGGTACTAGAGCCCCTGCAACCACGTGGGAGACCCAGAAGAGGCTCCTGGCTTCTGGCTCCTGGCTTTGGATCATCTCAGCTCCAGCCACTGCAGACATTTTATGGAGTAAATTCTGTCTTTGTTTCTCCTGCCTGTAAATATGCCTTTTAAATTAAGTAAGCAAATAAATAAGCAACACTTGTCAAATTTAAAAGTAATCCAGTTCTCCCCGCTTGCCCTGGAATGAGTTAATTCTTCCTCCCACACTTGCTTGTGGATATGCCTCCTCCTGGTACCACTGCACCTGCACCCTGAGTGGCAGTCAGGCCCTGTGACTCTGTGTCCCTGACTCGGCGGTCTCAGACCAACTGTGCTTGGCCAAGGTGCGTGTCAGCCAGTCTTTGTGACAGCCAACCACAGACTGCCAAGAGACACACTCTCTCCACTTGCTATCATGTGCCCAGACATAACAGATGCCACGACAGACAGACAAGCAAACCCAGAGTCGCCAGCACCTTCGGTTCAAGGATCAGCTCCACCCGCTCGTTAGCGTCGTCTTCCTCAGAGTCAGAATTCCCAGCTTTGATGTCCAGTTGCTCGAAGGCACTGTCCAGGACTTGTAGCCCATAGTTCACAGCCTCTTGGACTTTAGGAATCAGGTCAATTTCCTTCTGTTCCCGAGTCTTTTCCTACCGAGGGGAGAGGGAGACACCACACATTCAGTCTTGATCTCCAATACCTAGCTACCATCGCAACAAAATCCTGTACGTGTTACCAAGGCTTAGCCTCACACTCTGAATTAGAAACTATAACCCAAGTCGGGTTGTGCTGAATGGATTTTGCTGTAAGGCTGAGTGGTGGCCACTCTCTGGACACACAGCAGATGGGCTGAGATCTCAGAACTCCAGTTTCATCATCTACAAAATCCAAAGGACACACACAGGCTCTCTACAACCAGGGCCTGCACAGAAGTGACCAACTGCAGACTGAAAACATCGCTAAGAAAAACCTGCATGTGTACCGCGCACGCGGAGACCGCCTTTCCCAGTCACTGCGGCATGGACAACACAGGGTCACAACACTTCAGGAAGCACCTGCACTGCACTAGGTACTCTGAGTCATCTACTAACTCCACGGCGGTTCCCAGGAGGGACTGGAGCATCTACAGATCCTGCATGCTCAGGAGCACGGGGACCAGCACCCCTCAGCTACTGCGGCATAACTGTACAACTTCCGCTAACAGTGAATGCATGACACTTCCCTGACACTGGAGGGAGAAAGGAGCCAACCTGTGGGTTCACCATGACTATATTCCATGGATAATAATGGTGCCTCAGGGACTGCCACTATGATGTAGTGGGTAAACTTCTGCCTACAGTGCTGGCATCCCATGTGGATTCAGGTTCAGGTCCCGGATGCTCCACTTCCTATCCAGGTCATGTTAATGCACCTGGCAAAGCAGCAGAACCAGGTCTGAGCGCTTGGGCACCAGCACCCACATGGGAGACCTGTTACAGCTCCTGACTTCTGCCAATTGTGGCAGCCTTTTAGGGAGTGAGCCAGTGATTGGCAGAGCTCTGTCTCTTTCCCTCTGTTACTCTGCCTTTCAAAGAAAACAAACACAACTTTATTAAAAAAAAAAATGGTGCTTTGGACCATTTTAAGAGTTAAGATTCAGAAAAAAACTTGTTCTTTTTCTTGCGATTCACAGGAAATTGGTTCCATATCTTCCCAGCAATGTTCAGTTGTCTCTAGACCACTTAGGTTAACCTAACAGGATATAAATCTACAAACCAGTTGCTACACTACGGAGTGTAAGAAGTCATGACAAGAACAAACTCTGCATGTGTTCCACCGAGACCTGATTTTAAAAAATATATATTTAATTATTTTATTGGAAAAGCAGATTTACAGAGAGAAGGAGAAACAGAAAGATCTTTTGTCCACTGGTTCACTCCCCAAGTGGCTGCAAAGGCTGGAGCTGAGCCAATCCAAAATCAAGAGCCAGGAGTTTCTTCAGGTCTCCCACATGGGTGCAGGGTCCCAAGCCTTTGGGCTGTCCTTGACTGCTTCCCCAGGCCACAAGCAGGGAGCTGGATGAGAAGTGGAGTAGCTGGGACCCAAGCCAGCATCCATAAAGGATCCTGGTGTGTTCAAGGCAAGGACTTAGCCTTGCTGATTTTTTTTCTAAGCATTTTCAATCCACAGTTGGCTAAGTGAAGTACTCATAGACCTGCAGAATAATTATAAAATAAAAATGTTGGAGCTAGTGCTATGGCATAGCATATTAAGCCTATGCCTGTGACACTGGCATCCCATATGGGCACCGGTTCGGGTCCTGGCTGTTCTGTTTTCCAATCCAGCTCCTTGTTAATGGCCTGTGAAAGCAGGAGATGCCCCAAGTGCTTGAGTCCCTGTACCCACAGGGGAGACCCAGAATCTCCGGGTTTCCTGACCCACTCCTGGCTGTTTAGAGTCATTTGAGGGAGTGAGCCAGTGGATGGAAGACCTCTCTGTCTCTCTCACACCCTCTGTCTATATCTTCTTTCTGTAACTCTGCCTTTCAAAAAAAAAAAAAAAAGGCAATAAGATTTGGAGCCTGGAGTGATAGCCTAGTGACTAAATTTTCACTTTGCATGCACTGGGATCCCACATGGATGCCAGTTCATATCCTGGTGGCTCCACTTCCCATCAAGCTCCCTGCTTGTGGCCTGGGAAAGCAGCAGAGGATGCCACAAAACCTTGGGACCCCGCCACCATGTGGGTGAGCCAAAGTAAACTCCTGGCTCCCGGCTTCAGACTGGCTCAGTTCTGGACATTGTGGTCATCTGGGGAGTGAACCAGCAGACAGATCTTTCTCTCTGTATCTCCTTCTCCCTGTATATCTATCTGCCTTTCCAATAAAAGTAAATAATTTTTTTTTAAAAAAGGATGAAGATTTAAAAAATATATTGTAACTTTTGAAAAATGGTTGCCTAAAAGGTGGGTGTTGAGCGTAGCAGTGGAGACACCATTTGGGATGCTTTAAACCGACATCACACATACAGCAGGAACATCCCTGGCCCCGGACCTCAGTGCCAGCGTTCTCTCTCCCTGCCCTGACTCCTTCCTTCATTCGACCAGTCTCACACCTGAAGCTCATCTTACTCTCATTAATGAGCTCCCCAGATCCACTGACCAAATCCACAGCAGCCACAACGCGCTACAATCCGGGGCCTCAAGGATGCGACCTCCTGGGAAAACTGGTTCCTAGCCACCAGTTCCCTGCGCTTAGATCTCAGTCAGTGTGTGCTAATGGTACAGCCCATGCTCTCTGTGCCAGCACATCCTGTGGTGCCCACAAGGCTGCCCAGTGGACCATGCTAGTTTTCATGTGACTAGCATTTTGATCTGGTATCAATAAGAACCTGCCGGAGTCCAGCTCCAGCTGAGTTCGGAACTCGCGAAGGGTGCATGGATGAGGCGCAAAGAAAGAGAGAAAGAAAGAGACGGACCACTAGTAACTCTTCATCATCATAATGGACTACGCACAAAACTGTCCGCTTTATTTATACAAAATCAGTCAAACTCTGGCTCAGGCTTTTTACGTCACGCTCAAGCGGGGGTTTCTAAGGATAACTCTGCCATTTGTTTCACCTAAGGCTAGGTTGCTGTTCATCTGGCACCTGGCGCCTGGCTAGGAAAAGGTTTTCAACAGATGATGCATATCAGTCAGTAGCACATTCCTACCACAATTGGTCTTGAGATAGTCAAGGAAGGAAGGGGCCTAAAAGATCAAAGAAAGAAGGAAAGAATAGATTCCCACTACACCTGAAGATAGAACTCCCTTCATTAGCATAGGATCAAAAGGGGAGTTAGCACCCTTGGTTAGCATATTGCCACAGGACGCAGCCCTAACAGCAATAATAGCTCTTTGGCTAAAAACGGCACCAGCAACATTAGCTTCTAAGTTCCTATTGATATTTAACAGTAACTCCGCAGAGGCAGACAATGCCTAAATAGATTACAGAATACTCAGCGGGGTTGTCCGGTGTCCATGCAAAGGGAGGCAGAGCTGCATTCAGGTGTTGTAGAGACATCCACTGGGCCTTGCCACACAGCGGGAAGTTCCTTGCAACCTTGCCTGCAATGGAGCCATGCTCTTCACACCTTCCTGTCTTCCACACCCATCACACGGACCCCAGCAAGAACCAAAGCACTCATGAAGACACAGGGAAAAGGTCTCTGAAGAATTCATCCCTAGAATGTTCTATTCCAGAAGGTAGCAAACTACAGGCAAGTGTCTGGCATGACTTTGCATAGCTATCAGAGAAAGAAGGGTGTCTACCTTTCCAAAGAATTGGACAAGAAGAGGAAGATGAAAAGGAAGAGGGAAGTGGGGGGAATCCCAGTGCCTATAAAACTGTATCACATAAAAAAAAAAAAAAATTCCTCGTAAGAAAAAAAAAAGGAAGAGGGAATAAATAAGAAAAGAAGAGAGATCTTTGTGAGCTACAAATCCTGTAATATTTACCATCCGGTCATCTAAAAAAAAAATGTACTGCCCTCAGCTCTATTCTGCTGCCACAGTTCAGGAACTCTGTCTCTGTTAAACAAAGATGCTTGGGGACAGGGAGGCATTCAGCATGTCAATTGAAGATGCTGCTTGAGACACCTGTACGCTAGAGTAGAGGGCCTGGGGCTGAGTCCCGGCTCTGCATCCATTCCCAGCTCTCTGCTAACACACACCCTGAGAGGCAGCAGGTGCAGGCTCAACTGCTCAAGTGTCTGCCACCCAGCGGGAGACCTGGATGGAGATCGTGGCTCCCGGCTTTGGACTGGTCCATCCCTGGCTGGTGCAGCCATTCGAGGAGCCAGTGGGAATGCAAGTGGGAACTCTGTCCAAGTGCCTGTCTCACTGTTGAATACACTTATTTATATGTATTTTTACAGGTAAAATCCTGGGGTAAAATATGAAATCCACACATGTTCAGGGTTGTCAAAAATATCATAAAAATAAATATTATGCATTTATGTATTTATGATTTGAAGCTTGGGATACCACAAATTATATTTTCTCTTTTCACTTTTCCATAAACTTCATATTTACTTAACATAAGAAGAGTAATCACCGTGTCGGACCAATGGCTGCCATGTCACCCTCTCTGCCCTCCCACAGCCCTGTCTTATTATAAACCTGTATGCCTTTTCCTTCGGTGTCAGATACTCAGCTGCGGAGGGATTTAATACACGTACCTGCTCTGCCTTTTCAGTCTCAGCCTTGACTACCGGCTCCTCCACTTCTTCATCGTACACACGCTGCAGAGGGAAGCAAACAGATTTTTCAGAGGCTAGAACATCATTTAAAATAAATCCCAACATAAGAACTCAATGCACAGGAAGACAGGACAAGCACAGGGGAGGAGCCTGCCCCCAGCGGGTCACAGAGGAACAACAAAGCCCAGCAGTCAGTTAACCTGAAGTTAAAACTACGTAGTGCAGATACAAGCGAGCAGCCTGGCTGGGGGCCCAGAGCTGTACAAACAGCGACACACCCATCTCTATGAGGCTTCCAATGGCAACTTGGGTGACTGATCAAGAAGGTACCCAGAGCTCGGGAACGCTTGTTCTCATTCTGGGACTTTGGAAAAGCTGGTGAGCTTTAAGCTTCTCACAGCAGGAGAGTAGGCAGGTGAAACCCAACAGAGAAGTGCTAAAGGCCAGACACCGGCCTGACCCTTCCAGCTTGCCATGCACCACTTGCTTCCCCCTTAACACAGCTCCACAGCATTCACTGTGATTTCCTTTCCCTCCAACATTTTCGTTTAAAATACTCAAGAACAATATATTTGTTATAAAAAAAGTCAGTATAAACGGGTAAGCAAAATATGCAGGAAGTGATAGTCATGGTTCAAAATCCTGACCCATAAGTAGCTTTTAAGAAATGCTGACACATACACTAGAAACCACCGTGGTACATTCTTTGAATCTCAACTTTTAAAACTTTCCATCAATACAGGTAACAGGAGAAAGGCCCAAGAGAATACTTAACACAGCCCCCTCCCTAGCCACCTACTCCTTGGTCTCATCGGCTGACCTGGGTGGGGGTGTGTGTACACAGTTCTGCTTCTCCCAGTGTGGGCACTTCTGCTTCCCCTGGCTCTCACACACACAGTGCCTCTCCCTTCTCACTTTTAAATGCAAATGCTCACACTATGCAGACTTCTCTACCCTACTTTGCCACTGAGCAAACATTCTCCTAAGCCATGTTCTAGGTCAATGTATGCCAATGTAACTCAATTCTTTCTCCATTTCTACTCTGCCATAGCTAACCTCACTGTTGCCCATGCTGAATGCCACAGGATTCCCAGTTGTCGGGGTGCTCAGGCTATGCTGAACATACGCACACAGAAATCTCCTTGGACCTGGCCCTTTTTGTTCCTAATGGCACACCCCCAAAAAAGAGACAAAACTATCGTTGCTTACATCTTAATTGCTATACAGCTGGTCAATGTCACCAGCTAAGTAATGGAGCATTTCCTAAGCTTTTATCTACCTATCCAAAAAAAAAAGAAAAAAATCCACCAATATAATCAATTAAATAATATTACTTCCAAATGTTCACATCCTCTAATCTAAGAATTCTGCTTCTTGAAATTTAGCTCCAAGAAAAAGCATCGCAAGGAAATAATCAGGATTCTCATGGTGTTAAGATTTATACCAGAGGGCAACAAACAGCAAATGCATCATACTACGCAATTCTAACGTGATTTTCTATGGACTAAAATAGCAGGATAATCTCCAAACTCACAGAGGAAAGTAAAAGGCCAAAAAGCTTAATCAACATTGAATCTGCCCTGTGAAGTCTCACTGGAAGGCTGTAGTGTTGAAGACCAGGGTGCTGGCAGAGACCAGAGTATCCCAACAAAGGCAGACACCAAACAGACTCACAGTGGCACCAAAGCCCGATTCCACCTACACCCACTCACCCACCCACCCACACACTCACTCACTCAAAAAATGGCCAAACTTTACCAAAACGCTGGAAATAAATCCACTAGTGTTCAATGGCTGGTTAATCTGGGGAGGGGAGATTCACGTGGTTTTTTCATAGAGTTAATGTTTTCAACCATGATGGCCCCTGGGAAGTAAACTTAGAAAGCTTCAGTCAGTCCCCAAAGTCTGACAGGTTCGCCCCTAGTTGATAACATGTCAGATGGCTTTATTTTTTTCTTATTTTCCCCATCAGGGCTCTATAAAGATCAGAAGTTACTTTGGTGGTTTTCAAGGGCAAGAACAAAGAAACGGGTAGATCTTATGTTGAGCCTTTCGGAGACGTAACTAAAAGAGTTACTTCAGAAGTTCAACAGCAAAACCATTAACCTCAAAGATGGAGTTTCCTGGGCAAGTTAGCCATGCCCTACCTTCCTCTGCCTGTCCTCAGGAATGACCTCAGAGGACACTCCAACCTGTGACCTCAAAGAAACCAACCAGGGAAGACCAAAGACTCCGGAGACACCCTGAAGGCATATACAACCATGCCCCTTATGTGCCCAGCACACAGCACATGAGCCCCACCGACTGTCAAACTGCCCAGGCTGAACCCACACAAGCCTGAACGCGCTGACCCTCTACAACTGGACAGCTATCTCCACAGTTGCTGAGTATTTCCGGGCTTTCCCCAACGAACAGGAAAACGACAGGAGAAATTAAGCCACATTTAGGCAAAAGAAATTTTACAAAATGGAAGATTTCTTTTTATCCTCCCTTACCGAGGTCTTGTGAAATCATTAACTGTGGCATTTGATATTTCAGGATGCAATCACTACATTAACAGACTAATGAAACTTTTAAGAAGTGTGTTACCTTCCAATTAGCCATTACAACACTGCCCCATGTTAATTAGTATTTTCTCCTTCCCAGTCCCCACGAGAGGCTTTTAATCTTGCCCTGGAAACGCCAGCTGGTTTCTCTAACTTTGTAACACAGTTCACAACTTTCTGGTTGATTTTCAGGTTAATTACTTAAACCCAGAGACCTACCTAACTCTGCATCATATTCTAGAAACCCAACGGCACCACTGCCTACCCCCAATTATAACTTGTAAAAAGCCAGGCCAATGTTAAAAACATCATCAGACTCTAAGATCTTTTTCTTTTTCCTTTTTAGTTCATTGTTTCTATTAAGTTGAAAAGCAGGGATACAGAGGACAGCTTTTCCACCTGCTGAATTCACTCCCCAAGCCCTCCCAACAACTGGGCTGGCCCAGGCTGGAGCCAGGAGCCCAGAACTCACTACAAGTCTCCTATATGGAAGGCACTGACTCAAGGGTTCGGGATTCAATCCACTACTGCCCCACCCCGAGTGTGCGTTAGTAGGAGACTATAAAGGGAAGTAGAGCTGGGCTCAGGCCCAGCCACCAGGATATGAGATGCAGGGCTCCAGGGGGGGGTCTTGAGCACCGTACCCAGCACAGTACATGATGTCAGCACTAGTTGTTCTCACATCAAGTTCTGCTGAGAATGGACAGCAATCCGTGGCACGTGTCACTGCAGGAGGCCTGAGAAGCACGTAATTTTGTAGGGGCATCCAGCAGGTTCAGAGGATGCCTGCCCACTAGAAAGGGGAAGAGACCTAAGGAATTAACACTGGGAAATGGAGATGGGTAGAAACAGGGAATTCACAGACTTAGACAAAAACAATGAACTGTTACTAAAAGAATGCCACAAAAAACTAGATCATGGAATACTCAGAATCTAGATACACATGACCAGAACTCAAGCCTGAGAGGACCTGCAGACAGTGACTTAAAAAAAAGAGGTTCACTGGAGTTGGTATGACATAACAGGTTGAGCCGCAGCCTGGAACACTGGCATCCCAGTGCCAGCTGGGGTCCCCGCTGCCCCATTTCTGATCTAGCTCCCTGCTTAGGTGCCTGTGGATGCCAAGGAACATGACCCTAGTTCTTATGCCCCTGCACCCACGTGGAAGACCCAGATGAAACCCTGGCTCCAAGCTGACCCAACCCAGCTGTTGCATCGATCTGAGAAGTGAACTAGCAAATGGAAGACCCCCCTCTCTCTCTGGAACTCTTTCAAATAAATCAATTTTGTATTTTATTATTATTATTAGAAAATCAGTTATACAGAGAGCAGGAGAGACAGAGAGGAAGATTTTCCGTCCGATGATTCACTCCCCAACTGGCCACAGTGACCGATGCTGAGCAGGTCCGAGGCCAGGAGCCAGGAGCTTCTTCTAGGTCTCCCAAATGGGTGCAGGGTCCCAAGGCTTTGGGCCATTCTCAACTGCTTTCCCAGGCCACAGGCAGGGAGCTGGATCACCATTTTAGAACCAGCACCCATATAGGGTCCTGGTGCTTTCAAGGTGAGGACATTAGCTGCTAGGCTACTGTGCAGGGCCCTATTTTGACTCTGAAGAAAAAGAAGTTTCCTGATGTCCCCCAGGTCTCCCCACTGGTGCGTCACTCAGTAGCAATGGGCACCAAGCTTTCACAGACACACTGGGCACAAGAGAAATCTCCCAAACTCACTGCCAGCCCAGTCCAGCCCACAACACTGGCGGCAGAGAAGAGCTGAGCACCTGCCCAGCAAGACAGACACAAGGTGAGGGCAGCTGGAGGAGTTCAAAGGGCACCAGTTCAACCTGATGGGCACGGGCAGGCTGCGCACAGCGGGGACAGACACTAACATCCCGACAGCAGCTGCTCTAGGAGACACGCTCAGGGCTCAGCCTCAGCCACAGATGACAGCAGGTGCATTCTCCTTCCAGCTTTTGAGTTTTCCAAGAGATCACTAAAGACTGGCTTACGACCTTTATTTTACACATGGCCATCCTTGAAAAACTAAGGCTGGCAGTTCAGGTAAGTAAGTAAGTGAATAAGTAGGTAAGTAAATAAATGGAAGAAAGCAAGAAGAAAGAAACCCCTCAAGCAGGCTACACAACAGCCCACAAGGCCTTACAGGGTTTTCTCGTGTCAGATTCTGACTTCTCTTACTCTCACGTTTAAACCCCTCTCCGTGGCCTGCTTTACATCCAACAATTCCAGGAGCTATGCTCCTCAGATCCTCCTCCTCCCAGGCTAATGCTGCCATTCAGACAGTCGGCTGCCTATGAGAAACCAGCCTAACGAAGCTTCCTCTCTCCACCGTCAGCTCTGGGCGGTCTCCCTCTGCACGCAGCCCCAGCCCCACTCCCCTCTTTGCAACTCCAGCGGCAGGATTTACTCAAGTACAGTCTCTGACTGATTTCCTCTGGGATTCTAGTGTCTAGCAGTAACCTGTTCACAGTTAAACTTGCATCACAGGTTTGAGCCATCATAAAGCTGAGGTTGACAACACAGCAAACAGAGCACTTTAAAATAATTCCTCGTTACCTAATGAACCCAACCAGTAAATGAGGCCACACTCCAGTGCCCAGAGAGTCAGACCAGGTACACACTGTCCTGGCAGAATGTCACACAGCTTGTATCAGTGCCCTGTAATTTGGTACAACAGTTGACCATCTCAAAAACAGGATGGAGACATTAGAATACGAATTCACTTCAAAACAAGAATTGTTTTAATGGTTTTAAACAAAATAAATGCAATGCTACTGAAAAACCAGGCATGCATGCTAAAAAAGGCATTTCAATTACCATGCATCATTGCTTGTAACAAAATTTAGGAAGCAGCCTAAGAACCCATCACAGCAAACCCCATCATCTCCTGCTCCCCAGAGAACACTGACTAACCAGGGCAACGGAACGAAACCACTTACATTTTCGATGAACTGGGTGTTAGACAGCATAAGGAAGTCATTGAAGACGTTGTGCAGGCGACAGTCTGTGGCTTTGGTTTCCCGGATGAGCCCGTCCACCTGCTTCTTGATTTCATGCGTCCTAGAGATGGTCTGCTGGGAGAATTCCTGGAGAAACTGCAGGAGCTGTTTCAAAGGCAAGCACACGCATTAGTTACTGCACACACCTGTTCTCCATCACAACAGTAAAGAAGCCACTGGACGCTACTCCTGGGTGGCACCCAGACCTGGTCGCATCGGAGGATGCCAGGGCAGGGTCAGCGGCTACTGGCCACCAGTTCCTACACAACTCCTGGCAGTCCTATATGCTGGGTACGGTAACCCTGTTACCATGTATAAATGCTTCCACAGGCCCCTTTAAGCCACCAGATTCAGCTTCCTGACTCCCACCAGGACTGGCCCCTGCCCCTGCAGCCTGGAGGCTGCTGTCCGAGCTGTCAAAGTTCGGGGCTCCTGTCCTGACTCCCACCAAGCCTGCCCTCTGCCCCTGCAGCCTGGAGGCCGCTGTCCACGCTGTAATCCTTCGGGGCTCCCGTCCTCCTTCCATCCCCCAACCCCCAGCCCCGACCCCGTCTCTCACGCCCGCGTCGGCCGCCAGCGACCAGCTCTGGCTGCTCCTGCGGATCTCTTCCACCGACCAGGGCCGCTCCCACGGGGCCTCCGACGCCGGCGTCTGGGCCTGCTCGGCAGTCGTCCGGTTCGTCTGCAGCGGGAAAGACCAAAAGGTCGGCTGAGCCGGGGTGAGGGGAACGGCGGCGGTGCCGGAGCTCAGCACGTCCAGCTCCAGCCCGGCCCTGCGCCTCCGCCGGGACCTGCCCCTCCACCCGGGCGCGGGCCCCGTACCCCGGCCCGGCACGGCCCTTCCGCCCCGGCGCGGCCCCAACCACAGCGCCGTCCCCCTACACTTACCATCCCGGGGCCGGCCCGCTGCGAGGTCTGTCAGATCCAAGGACCAAAGCGCTCCGGAAACGGAGTCAGGGCTGCTGTGCGTCCCCTGGGCGTGAGCGGGGCCCACGTGACCTGACCGTCACGTGATGACGCGTTCACGTGACCCGACTGGCGGACAGCCAGGAAGAAGCTGCCGGGCCGATTTCTAGCAGGATTTTGGGTCCTTGGCTGTGCTGAGCCGTGCAGTCGCAGGGGCGAAGGTCACGCCTGGATCCTGACGATGCGGGGTCCGCCTCGCGGTGGCACTCGGGCCTCGGGCTGGAGGTGACGATCCTGTTTGGTTCCGGTACTGGCTCAGCTCCTGGAGGATCTTGTGGTGCAGCCAGTCTGGGACTTGGGGCCTGGGCTGTACTAAGCAGACACAAAGGCTGCGCTTCTTGCCTGCCTTGGGACCTGAGGATGCTCGCCGTCTGGACTGCGGCTCTGCCGACGGCCGGGAGGACCTGTGCGGTTCTCACTCGTGGAGTGGGGCCGACTTACAGTCCTTACTCACCTGGTGCACAGAAAGCAAAATGGAAAGTCATCTCAAGTACGAGATGCCCAACAGGTGATCTGTGGATGCTATAATGGTGCTAACGCGCGTGGTGACATTTCTGTGGACCAAGCACACTCAAGCCACTTAGCAAACCGGTCCTGAAGGCGTGTATTTGCCCCAGAGGGTTTCATAAACTCTTCCACACCAGACAGTCGGTCCATCCACAGAACCTCTATCAGGTAATGATGACTTACTGACAGCAGACTTGACCTTTGGCTTGTCTTCGACAGTGGAAACTTGAACTTGAAACCCTCTAGTCATAGCTGGGCCTATTATCTTAACAAATTTTCACTGTTTAAAGTAACACACACGTGGTACTTTTCTAGTTTACTAAGCCACCTGAAGAACATTTGAGAAATCGTTGGATGTCTACTAGCTTAGAGCCAATTATAAAACGTTTTTATTAAATTCAAATTTCTAGTATTTCTTTCATTCTATTGCTCTAAGTGTTGAAAACCTTTGCTTTGTATCTCCACTGCATTTGGATTTTCAAAGTCAAAACATCAAGATGTTTGGCGTACTCACCTAAAACACAGAATTTAAGCCACCAGGACATTCATCTGTTTCTTCAGCTCAGGATCCGAAATGTAAACACGGCTCATCAGCTACCTCTGTACTCCATCCATACTCATACCGTGTCTGCACTTCCTGCCCATCTGCCCATCCAACGGCACACTGCCACCACAGGAGAGACCAGGGCATCCCATCTGCCACCTCCTCGCCCTGCTGCCACCTGACCTTTCAGTTTGGATTCTACAAAACCGTCACTCCTCCATCTTACTATAAAAGTCCTCTGTGAAGGCTTACGCCATCTAGCTACTTTCTAATCTTCCTGAAACCTTCTATCCTCCAACTACTTAATACAGGATGCATTTATTTAGTGCTTTTACACTAGGTTTAAACTCCACCCCTCCATTCTAGCTTTGCTGTTATCCCGAATTCCCTCCAAATAAGAACCTCTGGTCTCCCAGGGTTTTTTTTTCTTTAAAATTTTTCATTTACTATTTGAAAGGCTGACTTAGAAGGAAAGAGAGAAAAAAAATATCTTCTGGTTCAAAGTTCAAATAGCTGCCATCGCCAAGGCTGAACCAGCTGAAGCGAGGAGTCCAGAGCTGCTTTCAGCTCCCCATGTGTGTGCAGGACCCAAACACTCAGTCCAGCCTCCAGTGTTCATCCAGGTGCAATAGCAGGCAACTGGATCAGAAGTGAAACAATATGGCTCAGTGTGATGGCTCAATTAGCAAATCCCCCCCCCGACTAAAGCACCAGGATCCCATAAGGGCACCAGTTTATGTCCCTGGTGCTTCACTTCCCATTCAGCTCCCTCCTGAGAAAGCAGTAGAGGACAGCCCAAAGCCTTAGGCCCCTGAACCCATGCAGGAGACCTAGAAGAAGCTCCTGGCTCCTGGCTTCAGATCAACTCAGCTGCAGCTATTGTGGCATTAGGGGAGTGAGCCAGCAGATGAAAACTGTCTCTGTCTCTCCTCTCTAAATTTGTCTTTCCAATAAAAACAAAAAGATCTTTAAAAATGAAGAACTATAAACAAATCAAAGCCTTCCCCTCTTACCATCTCTCCTCCCAATAAGCTCATCTTTCCCCCATCATTCCTCCTGTATAGGAAACACAGAAATCTTTCTTCCAAGACCCCTCTCCCCGCGTTTTACTGCCCATGCTGCAGAGCTCTCCCATGCATTAAAACCCTCCAGAGGGGCAGTGCTGTGGTGTATCAGGTCAAACTGCCCCACGTGAGGGGGCATTCCATATGAATGGCATTCAGATGGAAAGCAGGTCATGTCCCAGCTCTCTGCAACTGAAGGCATTAACTTTCCCTTACACTGCCCTCTGTCTCAACAGATAACTCGACCATCTGCTCACCTGCTCCTGTCCCATACCTGGGACTCACTGCCTCCTTCATCTGCAAGCCATCAAGCCCTGCCAGTTCTGTCTTTGTGCATCAACAGGTCTCAGGTTAAATGTCACTCCTGCCTACACACCTCCACTCGCAGAGGCTGCAAATAAACTTACTCTGCACTCCCACAGCACCCCACAGTTTCCAAACTTTTCCTCCAGCGTACACACCTTGCAAGGTGGCCTATCCTGGAGCGGCGAGAAATGACAGAAAGAGCTCTGAACAATTCAACTGGAACAGCTTTCCTAGAACCTAGCACAGTGGTTCCACAAACCGTAGCTACTCAGTAACACGTGGAAAACCAATAAACAAATATTCAATTTCTTTTCTTTTTTTAAGATTTATTTATTTATTGGAAAGGCGGATATACAGAGAGGAGAGACAGAGAGGAAGATCTTCCATCCAATGATACACTCCCCAAGTGAGCGCAATGGCCAATGCTATGCCAATCCGAAGCCAGAAGCCAGGAACTTCTCCTGGGTCTCCCACGTGGGTGCAGGGTCCCAAAGCTTTGGGCCTGTCCTTGACTGCTTTCCCAGGCCACAGGCAGGGAGCTGGATGGGAAGTGGAGCAGCCGGGATTAGAACCGGCACCCATATAGAATACCAGCGCGTTCAAGGTGAGGACTTTAGCCGCTAGGCCATGCCGCTGGGCCCTCAATTTCTTTAAAAAAATGTATTTCATTTTGAAACAAAAATTCCACTTCAGTCACTAGTTGACCTTGCACAGTTACTAACTTCTTTCAAGTCATCTAAAAATGGGAGGAATGAAGCTAAAATGTACTGAAGCTTAAGCTCTTCATTATAACACACTTTAGGAGCTGACCCAGAAGCAGTTTTTATGCTCTGATTTGACTTGAACTTGAGAACAATGCTTCAGGAGAAGTGTGGGTAAGACTGCAAGGACGGCCAAGTCAGCGCTTGCTCAGAGGACCAGGCGAATGGCAGTAACAGCTGGCTCATCCTCTTAAGGGTGAGGAAGCAGAAAATGCTCAGCATTCTTAGTAAAACTATGAAAAGCACAGTTGCTTGCACACTTTGATGCGCCCCATACTAAGCCCCAAAGGATGTTCTAGGGGATTCCACTCATCCAAGCTGTTTAACTTTCAGTTTTCTTTGCATCTTTTGAATCCCTAGCAAAATTATCAGCACTGCCAATTAGTTCCAAATGCAGAAACAAAACCTACATGGTATGTTAGATCACTTAAATAAATGGCTGACATGAGATGCTCATTAACTGGCCGCTGAACACTCTACTGGATTTGTATTTAGTGTTTTTGTAAAAAGTTCGGCCATTTCTCAACTGTGTGTGTGTTTCTGCATTATGCATTCTTTATATTAATTATAAGCATTGTGATACAATGATGAGATTTTGGCAGGGACTTCATTTTTGCTTTTCTTATCCTGTTGTATGACTGCCATGCTTCATTTACCCATCCTTCAGTGTCAAGGGTTCTTTTCCTTAAAGATTTTTACTTATTTGCAATAGTCACACAGAAAGGGAGAGAGAATTTTCCATCTGCTGGTTCATTCATCGCAGCAGCCAGCACTGGCCAGGAGCTTCATCTAGGTCTTACACATGCGCATGAAGAACCAAACATTTGGGCCATTTTCTGCTGCTTTTCTCAGGGGCATTTAGAGGAGCTAGATCGGAAGTGGGAAGCTGACTTGAACCAGCACCCATATGGCATTGCGGGCATTAGCTGTATCGACCACACTGTAACACCTCTAACACGAAGTTGTTTCTTTTATTTTTTAAAGATTTATTATATTTTAATTGGACATGCATATTTATAGAAAGAAACAAATAACTTCCATCTGTTGTCTCACCTCTCATATGATCACCAGTTCTGGACCTGTGAGAAGCCAGGACCTAGGAATTTGTGGGTCTCTCACACAGGTGCAGGGTCCCAAGGCTCTGGGCCATCCTCAAGTGCTTTCCCAGACCACAAGCAGGGAGCTGAATGGGAGTGAACTAGCAGATGAAAGATCTTTCTCTGTTTCTCTCTTTGAAAAATCTTTCCAATAAAAATAAGTAAATCTTTAAAAAAAAAAAAAGAAGAAAAACAATGTATGTTAACCACATGAACCCATTAGTATGAACTGATTTTAAGCTTTTGCCATGTCTGCATTATAGATGCTTGCTCCCCGTTTCTTTTTCTTAAATAATAGACATTTTGGGCCGGAGCTGCTTTCTATGACACCATTTTATTCTTGTCCTCAGGAGCAGGTGTATCTGTGTGGATATGTGTGAACATGGGGTGTGCGTACGATGTTTTGCAGGGATATTTTTTTCCCCATGCAGATCACCTTTATTGCATAATATTTCTCTTTGCTTACCACAGGTGGTGGTGGTGATGGTGGTGGTGGTGTGTGTGTGTATAGAATTAGGCTTCAGTGCCACCGTGAGTCTGTCTGGTTTCTGTCCTTTGTTGGGATACTTCGCTGTCAGCCAGCATCCTAGCCTTCAATACTACAGCCTTCTACTGAATCTGAATAGAGTAGACTCAAAGTGATTCAGGTTTTTAGCCCTTTTTTTTTTAAAAAAAAAGATTTATTTATTTCTATTGCAAAGTCAGATATATAGAGAGGAGGAGAGACAC